AATAAAACAATTGTACCGAGTAGAGTCTACTAATATATTTCATTCATATATTAATAATAGTTTCCATAATACTATGCTATGTAAATTGTAACCAAGATCTGACGCTGCTCTAAATAATAGATGAGATAAAGAAACGTCTATTAACATACTGTTAGCGTTCTTAGATCATACATTAGACTCTGGTTACCTCATGCGATGTTTTGTTAGTGATATAAAAGTGACCTTAAATAGCTGCATGCCCACTTTATAACCAACAACTTGGTCGTGACCTTATGAAGAGAACGTAAGGAACTAATCCTATGACAACGGCTTATAAAATATTAGAGAGAAATAGAAAACTTAAACTTTGTAGTATGTACAAACTAGAAACTTGCTTGAAGTTCGCTCAAGTTGTTAAAGCTTCAGAGAAACCGCACTATAGGCATTTATTTTAAAATTCAAAAAAACCTAATCAACTTACTATGGTTTTGTTATAACTGTAGAGAAAGTGTCAGATATATGAGGTTAATATATTTTTCTATATATATACTTAAAAATTTATTTTAAAAATGTATTTTGATATCAAAATTGTGTGAGTTAACTCTCTCAGTAGTTCTTTGTAGTTGATACAGCCTTCGTTAGAAATGACTATTGCACAACGCCACCGCTGTTGCCTCTCGACGTTCAGTCGGTCTTTGTACGCTACATTTAAAATTCACGCTCACTTTATACAACCTTAGAGGCTTTTCTATAACTTACATATAAACAGCTATATATAAACTATGCAATTGTTGCAAAACCCTATTTAACCAATGTGATGCAAAAGTTTATACAAAATTACTTTATTTCTATAAGACATTTCTTCGCCTTTGAACTGATATTGTTTACATCTTCGTTTGACGTCTTGTAAGATATAATTTTGCGTTTCTTTCATCTCAAATGTGGCTTTTCTTTGATAGAACGTTTCCATTACAATTTAATATTTTATAAACTATTAGTCATTCTGCAATAGCTTTGATGCTTTAATAGCAATTTTATGTATGACGTATAGATAGTAATTGAAAGTTTGAATTTATATACATTAGGGTTGTCGAAACATGTAACCTACACGTCTGTCTGAGGGTGTTCACTGATGACACATAACATGATAAGGTGATTCATGTCAAAACCCTATTATATTTTGCCGTAATCCATATAAAAAGTTAAAAGTAGGAGTATTTAATTACTAAATACAGGTAGTATTTTGCTAAATAACGTTTATTTGTTATTCTACTCTACTCCACTTCGCTGTCGATGGTATAAAAGCAATGTTTTAAAATTACGAAACGCAATTATCGTTTGTTACCGATGTGTGAAGTTATATTTTATAAGAATGTATCCGATTACAAGAATCTCAACCATTAGGTATTCCAGAGAAACATTTATTATAAATTTCATTGTCGTATAACTATTTGTTTTATATATAAACAGAATGATTTGTATTTTTACATTATTCTTTGAAAACATCAAGCGCTCAGAATTCCGAGCTGAAATGTAGTTATTTATATTTCGTTTGAGCCGAACTCCAATTGATCCAACTTTCTTGATTTTTATTGATGACTTAACAGGTCATTATGGAAATGTCTAGACGACTCAATGTAACATTTCCAGAATTTAAAGTAGCTCTAATATGTCTCGATATTGAATCTGAAAGCCTAAAATTGTCTCTAAATCTCTCGGTTATGCGGTTAAAATTATCCAAATATGAAAGAAATCAAATTTATTTAAAATTATGTTCTATTTAAAATCACAACGAGCTATTGGTATTATGATATTTGTTTAACAAATCCAGATGCTTGTCCGGTCGAACCTGAACTAGGAAACTTGCCTATGAAAGGAAGTCTTGTTGAGATCGGCTTTGAGATGTTTATTACTCTAACTAAATACTACATCTTTATCGTGATGTATTTATCTATTCTGAGAGAGTTATTGCATTGGATGTATGCTAATGTTTCTTAGAATGGTAAATAAATTTTGTAGTCACAGTTTGCGAGGAATGCTTAAGTTACCAACGCATAATCTTGATCCTGGTAAATTACAAACAATATTTAAATAACTATATTGTAGTAGCATTTTCTACAGGTCCCTTTATTTATGAAGATTTAAATAAAATGTCTATAAATAATTATCAATAAAATAGAGCATTTTATTTTAACATTTTTGTGAAAACTAATTGCTTCAATTTTAAAAACATAATAGCATGAAATTTAGAGGATATTACCAAGTTGCATAAAAATTTACTTACGAGGCACTAACTTACTTTTGGTAAATATAAATTAGATAAGCAAAGGGCTTTACTGAAATTTACGTTAATTTATTATCAAAACTAACATAAATAGCGTTACTAAATCCCTAGTCATCTGTAGTTATCAATATCTAACCACCACCCCTACATTTCCGTTACATTATTTGTATAATTATATATACATTTGAGCATATGTCGAGCATAAACTCTAAACTCTAGGCAATACGATCTCGGTAGCAACTGAGCCCAAAGGAAACTTTCGCAACCATTGTTTTCGTTTTGTACAACATCTGGCACAACGAGGACGGTCGGTTACACTTACATGTATACACATTGACATCCTCAACTCTGTACAATGTATTTTATAACTTCAAAGCGAGAAGAAGAAATTTAGAATAAGTTTTAATTGAAAGCATTGATAATTAAGTCAACTTATACAATGAATAGAATAACATTTTGCATAATCAATACGAATTATATTATACAGATATTTATTGCTTCAGAGAAAATAAAATGTATTAAAGGATGTATAAAAATTCACAGTACGCCGTCAAGGGTAGGCAAGGGATCGCGGGGCATTTATCATTCCAATACGCGAACGTGCACTAAGAAAAAGATGATAATACATCTGAATAATTTGTTAGGATTGCGTGTGAAAAATATTTCATCGTTGGTATATTTTATCTGAAATGTGCTCGGTTTGAGCATCATTAAGATATTAACATATGGTGATGTGGGAATTAGTAATGACACATTTTCAGAGACTTGCATGCTAGTAATATTATAAAAAATGTTTTGGTTAAACATTTTTGAAAATTATTTTTAAATACTAAATTTGACGTTAAGTATCGATGATTTCTATAGTATTATTAAATATTATTACATTACCGATAAAAACAAAACTGTTTTTAAGTTAAGAGTTTTTTTTAAATATAGAAGTTTAAACATTTTTTTAAACATAAGTTATAAGTACATATATTCTCGTCAGCGTAAAACGAGTTGTTTATTAAGTTGTGTTAATAAAATGAGTTGAAAGACCTAGGCACTGAAGCCGTTCGACCTGAGATCTCTGGTTTGAATCATTCACGTTAGTCATGCCACCCCTCGACAGCTTCTACTCAAAAACGAGACGAATCGAGTTTCACACATCTTATTTTATTTTTAATCATAAAGCCGCGTTCCTTAAATTCATTATATTTCTCGTACGATTTCAACTTTTTTTTTACACTTAAATTCTTGCGTAATTATAGTGATAAGTACAGAATACAGAAAAAACAAATTGACGATCAATGGATACCATATTCGCTGTTTTATAAACTCGTTTATTATTCATACCAGAATTCGCAAGAAAAGTATCTTCATTTCAAATACTTAGTTTTTCTGTTAAAATCTTAACGTTGAATTCATTAATTCTGTGTAAGTCGGCGATATAAACCATAACAAGGCTACAGAACATTGCAATCAGTAATTATATATAGAAAAAATGTTAATTAAATGGTTTACATGTGAGATTTGTTATAGTCGTTTAAACGGAGGCGCGCTAATCGTGTTCGTTCCGCGAGTTTAGTTCACGTTTCGTCTTGCACACCACAACAGCTTGGATCTCATACCCTCTGTCTCACGACATCCGGCCTTTTATTCCAATCTTTTAAACATACAAAGGAGGTTCTATCTATGCTCTAATTACGCCTTTTTTGTCTTCAAATATAAATTTCGAGAACTTGAAAAGCCTATGTAAAATCTTCCTGTAAAATATTTCCAAAAAATATATTTTTGCTTATACATTTTTGCTTTTCTAACAAACGGTGTAAAATATCATCGTATTTTAGCGTATACTATGGGTGTTTTTTGAAATTTAATTTAGTTAATGAATGTGCCATTAATTTGCATTGTGACATGAAGTTCTATAAAAAATATTATAAAACTTAAAAGTGAACACGCACTATACTAATGTAATTGGTTCAATATTCTGTACTAGATTTTACTCATTACTTCGCTCGCGTGTTAGGTGTTCCCAGTAAGGCTCTATAGGTACACGATATAGAATACAGCCTGTGTTATTTTAAACACCTAAGTAAACAAAAATACTATAAATAATTTTGATTGGTTTTTATATTTAATGTTATGAAATTTTGACTAATGTTATCGAAAACTCGAAGTCGATTTGATAAGACAATCAAAAATTATTGTATGAGTAGTGTTAGTTATCTGAAAATCACGGAACAGTAGTTTAAATTTAAATCCAACGTCATATAACCTCAAATATGCTTTCAAAAGCAGCGAAAGTTTTTTTGATGTTTTTAACAGTGAACGTTGTTTCGACCTCTTTCCCCGATTGGGCTCGACTGTTTCATTGGCTATTATAACTACATAATCTTATCGCAGCGTGATAAAGTAAAATTGTTCGCAGTACTTGTTTTACAAGGATCAATAAAACTTACCAAATAGAAACCATGCTATAAATAGTGAAACAATTACAAAATGTCCTGGTGGCCTAAATATTCCGACGTTAAATCTGTTTCTTTTTTACCTGATAAGTTTTAATTTGAAGGTGTTAAGATGCACTGTGACAAAGGATTATCGAATTAGTGAACGGAAAGTGTGAAATGAATTCTATAAAGTGTAAAGGACCAGGAAATAGATCAAAGTGAAACTAATGGCTGCATTGATGCGGGGAGTCGAAATATTGAAGGGCAAGAGGCCTTAATGTGGCGTGTTTCCCATCACCACGACCACCATGTCTGAGACTTTATCCCCTAACTCCTCGCCCAGCTGCGAAGAACATAGCAGACGCCGCTCAGTGTTCTATGTGCCGTTATTCGAAAGTTTCGATAATTACTTGCCTCTGACTCCGGAGGAGAAAGAAGCAATTCTATGCGGTCAAAATGTCGAACATACTCCTACTAAACCAAGGCGAAAGAATACAGCGGAGTATGGAAGGTTGCACATACATTCCCGCGCGGAAACGTCTTCTATTGAAAGTGAAAGTGATTTCAGTCCTGTCAGGCGATATCCACGACCTTTGTCGTCGAGAATGAGTTCCAATGAAGCATTGGCAAGAGAAGGTCAAAGCGATCTCACGAGTCCCAGGCTTGTCGCTGAGAGCAATGTCATTCGCCACAGACATCCAAGATTACGTACAACGACATCATGTGAACCGCGTTACGATAGAATATATTCCCCTCTCACAACATCGATCTCATCTAACAAACTGAACAATTCAACTTCAAGTATAAGCACCAGGTTACCCTCAAAAAATCCCATACGCAACTCTAACCTGTCCTTAATACCCGATGCACCGAAGATGCTTTCCCCGGCTAAAGAAAAGTCAAAAACATTGCCGCAGAATTTAAATACACCTTCACCGATTCGTGGCAGTAGTAGTTCTACGTCTATATTCAAAACTCCAAAAATCACCGTAACACCTGAGAGTCCCCATAAGAGTCCAGGAAAAATGACGGGACTTAACTTTATTAGGCGATCGAGGAGCACGAAATTGTCTAGAAGTAATTCTTTGCTCCGAAGCATAACTGCTAGATACATTGAGGAAGGTCTCGAAGACAACGTGGCTGTAATAACGGACTTGACGGACAATTATGATAAGTTTGTGGACGATAACGGGGGTGAAAAGGAGGTTATTTGTGCTTTAATTAAGAAAAATGAAGAGCAGATTACGAATAGTCCCCTCAGTATGAGACGGACTTATCTGGACGCCGATGACGATTTAGCTGTTCATTCCGGTAAGAATAACTATAATGTTGATGGATTCTACTTATATTTAAAGCAAATTATGCATCTTTTTATCTCATGAAAGTTCCATCAATTTATGATGCAAAATAGCTCGTTAAACATTATTGCGTAAGCAAAATATTGGAACATGCTTCCTGATGAAGCTCATTAAATAAACATCAATATATAGTCAATTTAATAGCGGTTCATTCTCGTATATTCCCTTGAAGACTCATTAAAATGTTATGTAATAGTAACTTAAAAGGCTTGTAATAATTAATAATGTCTTTCATGGATCACGGACCTCTAAACAAAACAGGCTACAAAGATTACTAACGAGATATTATCTAATGAGAATGATTTTGCGTTTAAGCTTCCATTTAGGCCATTGTTATCCAACTGTTCATGACAACGCAGCACTTACTAATTGTTCCGCTAAGAGTGGTAATGGTCTTTGTAGATTTCGTCACCTCCATTAGGAGCATTACAATATATAAACTGGAAGGCATGACAGCAACGAAACCCTTGTTTAAGTTTTATCCCATGCTATACATTATAATTCATTATATATTATGCTGCATGTATTATGCTTCATAATATTCATATGGTTAATCTGCACAAACTTTATCTTACTAGAGATATATTTATTAAAAATTCAAAATAACTTTCTGTTTTCCGACATTTTTATCATAGAATGTTATCGATATAATGTAAAAAGCTTTTAAAAGGTAACATCACTAAAACAAATATACATAACACATATATATAGCTAAAACTTTGAAACAATATTTTGCAGACGTTCCACCGTTACAGCTTTTAGTATTCGGCACGTGTTCTGAACGTTTCGATACTTTACTTTCAAAAACCGTAAAACGTAGACGGAACTTTTTGTCCCGTCAATTCAAATTATTCAAGAACAATTTATATAAGAATGCTATGTAAAAAATTTAAGGCAGAAAATCAATATCTGGAATGTTATTGCTACCTCCCAGCTATAGAACAGTATGCTTAACACAAAGTACGAAGTATGTCCCATTTCTCTTTCAATAACCCGTCTTAGTACTATCTGCGAAGATTTATGAATGAAAAATTGTTAACGCTCTTTATGTAGTGGCGATGCCAACATGGGGTAAGCAGACTGACATTTTCTTTACTGATTGCAAATTTTATTACTATGTTATGAAATGTCCAATAAATTTTGGTCACTATTTTTATCATTGTCTATATTTCCTGGTGTTTATCTCGCCTTATCAATATTATTAGTCTAGATAAATTAACAACGTCGCTTTAGATAGTCAAACTTGTTGTGTAAGGAAATATTGTTTCAATAATTTATATTGTATTTAAATACATCCTTATTAACATATTTATGAGAGTCATCTCTTTTAATAAACTAATTATATTATTATTAAAACAATTATTACTCATACCTTTCTATATTCTTTTATAAAAGAATTTACAAAACATCGGAAGTTCTTAAATGTATGAGTTGCAGTTTATTGGTTTAAGGTCATTCACCTCAAAGGGTGCAACTATGGCGTTGCAATACATCATAAGTCAGCGTTCCGTTAACGCCATCTTTACCTGTTTTAATTCCCAGAACATGTTTTAACTTGTCGATTACTGAGTTTATTACAGCTACTGCACATTTATCACGAGTCCGCATCGTCCAATTAAATATAGTTTACATTTTTCATTCATAAACCTACGTAGATATTATCATTGACTTACTTTAAATATGATTAATATATTCGTGGTAAAGTATTGTTTTGACAGTATATTTAAAGGGAGAACTATAAAATTGGAGTAAACAGACTGATAACGAGTAAGTAAGTCGGAACACCGCAATACATAATAACGGTTAAAAGGAGCAACATCTGTTTCATTCGCACGATACACATCGTATGACATTCGTTGGTAGAACTCGCAAGCTTTTTAATTTGATGCCGTTTCTTTGTTGACTTCGATATAAATACTTGCATTTTTTTATTTCATTGAATTGGAAATATAAATAAGTTCACATTATATGATGATTTAAATAATGTATTGGAGTATTGGATACCAATTTTATAAGACGCGCTGTCAAGGAATTCGATAGCTTGATAAGCAGACAAGGCGATCGCAATTACACAAGACTTTTATGACCTTGGCTCTAACAATGATGAATTTTGTATGGACATTGAACAGTAATTTTGTCAAAGACGGCATGCTCGGTCACGGACGTCGTGTGCGCTACATCCGCAGGAAACCACGCCGCTACTATCGCTACTATCACTATAAAAATATATACATAGTCGTGATATAATTATCATATATAAAATACTACACGACTATAATTTATGCAAATACATGCACATCAAAGAAATTTCTGATGACATGCATTATGACATACCAAAGTAATTATAGTAATATGCGAATTATGCATATTATATTTCATTATGCATTGTTCATATATTATTCGAAGTGGAACTCTGAATCAGTGTACAGCGTAAACAATTGGCTACTGATTATAGTGGCACGCGTTTTAGCCAAGGTTGTGTGTAATTCAGTGTCGATTTGAGTTCTTGAAGAAGTAGATATGAAATGTTTTTTACATTCGTTGTTTTGCCATCATTATGTCTTTGTCCGTGGTAGGTACAAGTTAAGCTTCGTGTGTCACTAATTCCTATATCCTGGAAGTTCTAATGTGTAGCGTGGCGATGCTTTTATACAGAATTTTATGCGCAAAGTAAACATTTTATTAATATACAATTTTCGATACGAAACCGTATATTTTGCATACAATTAAGATGATTATAGGCACAAAGATTTATTGCAATACGGGCCCTTACGATATAATATCTAATGTGGTTTGATTTATTGTCGTTATTGATTTTAATTTGAGTTTCCCCTCGTGATAGTTATGATGATTTATGAGTTTACTTACTTGCGACAGATGCTTATATCATGTACGCCGTTAGAACCGTTTTGTACTTATTGAGTTTAAGTAGACAGTACGCGGACATTACACTGTTAGTCTGTTATTCAATATGCAAATAAGTAACAGTGACAGTAAGCAACATAACTAGCATCTGTTAATTTGCAAAAGGCACACCTGTTGTGGAGTTTATTATCAATTAGATCATATGTTAACGTAATTATTATATAATATGTAATCATATAATAAAAATGAATATTAGTTTCTTCATTTCTTTGGTGTATGTAGCATAAAAACTTATGTGTTTAATAGAATGGCTCTCTTTACATTGTATCATATAGAAGTTATGCCATGTTTTACTCAATTTTACTTCACAAAGCCTAATATAAGTCCACGGGCATCAAGTAATATAATATGTGTTTTCAGATACATCATATGAGACGTCATGTCGGCGTGGTTCAGCCCCAAGTACTCCAATACCCGGGACGCAGGCTCAGCACAGTCCCTCGCGCCTCGCGTCCTTCTTCTTCTCAAAGCGGTCCTTCAGAAGCAATCCACTCAAACGGACGAAGTCAGCCGCCAAGATAGAAAGCAAGCAAGTCCTTGCAGCCGTTCCGACACACCCAGCGACACACGCTTTGAGGACATCCAGGTGACATAACTAGTTAAATAAATTAAATCATAATTTATAAGCTCTAAGTCTTTCGCGAGTTCATTTAAATGAAACTAATATTTTTCGGTAGACGAGATGTGAATGACATTCACATATTCTGCCCGTAATCACGATTGCTGTAAAGTAACCGAAACGTCGGGAGTATGTAGGTTTTTACAAAAATAAAGCACGCGTAGTATATGCGAAAAATATTAGTTTCATTCACAATTTTTAATATAAACTTATATGATGGCAACATATATAATATAAATTTAAAAAAAATTATTTAAGGAATTGTATGTTTTTACTAGGCAGTGATGGAAATTTTAACAGATACTATAGTTTTAGAATATATACAGATATTTAATTAATTCTTTAATCAAATAATGTAAGCGTTAATTGTTGTATTTGTCGTGACAAAGCGACGTTAGTGGAGGTCGTTATTAAGTTAGGAGTGTCTCTCCGTCTGTCACATACTTACACGGATCCAGTTATTGTTTGACAATAAACATACCATACTAGCTTTTGTTGACGAATTTGTTCGCATTGATTAAGAAAATACGGAAGAAAATTAATAAATTGTGTTTCAAACACCTTTCTTTTGTATAGAATAATGCTGTTACGCTATGATTCCAAAGAAGTTCCATTATATTCTTATATTTAATCTACATTACTGGAAATTTTAATCAAAATCCGTCCAGTAATTTTTGCGAGAAATAGCAATAAACATTCTTACATCCATTCAAATTTCCGCGGTAACATATACTCAGCATATTGATTAAAGAAGGCAAATACAGTGATCGACCTTGAAATAATTATTGGATTCAATTACGTGATTTGTACGTATGGATGTTACGGTGCTGAATAGTAAAATGTATTTTGATAACGGCTATATAATTTAGTATGGAACTACGTCTGAAACTAGTATTATTCTGCGACATCGCTCCTATTGAATTTGTGTATCTCTAGGTCTTAATGAAAGCGTTAGTTTGTATGTCTCACAAAACTACATTTATATGACGAAAATACTAAGTGTCTTTTGTCCTTCTATATACTACTACTGCCTAAGTAGTTAATTAATCAATAGTTGAAGTATTTTTCACTACAAATTAGAAGACTTAATTTTCCACTATGACTAATTTTCTTTTATTTATTTCCAGATCTCATGAAAGTCTCCTATCAGCACAATCGCCAGCAGTATCAACAATGGATCTCGGACCCCCCAATCAGGTAAAATATGCAGACTAATACAAGTTCACACGCAATCACACCAAACATTAGTCATCAACTTGAATGATTTAATTGAAAGATATCGTGTGACTTTTACAATACCTGTTTTGTAAGGCTCTGAATCATTATACTCTGTGCAAAAACATTATCGGTATAGCGGTACTTTGTAATTAAAAAATATACTTAAATAATTTACTTCTGTTATCTGACAAATAGCTAATTTGAAACAAGTTGCATGAGCATGTATTACTTTTTTTTACTTCAATATTTTTGTTCTAAAAAATAAGTATATTATTCAGTATTTACCTAACAAATTAAAGATAATATGATATTATATAAGTAGTTAAGCATTAAATTTAGTTATTATAACAAAAACAAACATGTCTTGTTGAATAACAAATCCGACTGAGATAACGGTGACTCATAATTTGAGTAACTAGTTACGGAATACTTGTTTCGGCGTACGCTTTTAGTTCTATAAAAATTGTGGATACCAATTATCCAGATCATGTTAAATTGGTTTGGATGATTAAGTATTAGACACGCAAATAAAATATTTCTTATTAATCAAATCTCTTTGATAATAAAATTTTAATAATTTTTTTAATTTCTAGGTTGAGATTCGAGCTCTTCATTCGTCAGTACTGGGCAGGCCGCATTGTTTCGCACTGAGCGCTGAGAATCGCGCTCCGCGGTACTTCGCGTGCGCCTCCAGAAAGGAAAGAGATCGCTGGATTTACAGGTATACTGATAAGTTCAAAGTTCTTATATTAAACTAGCTGCGCCCCGCGATTTCCGGGATGTAAAGTAGCCTATATATTATTCCTAGACGTCAGCTTCCTGTATACAAAATGTGATCAAAATCGGTTTAGCCGTTTGAGCGTGAACAAGTAACAAACATACACACACACTCACATACTTTCGCAATTATAATAATACATAAGTAGGATTTTTAAATTTAATTTATTGACAGCGCCATCTAGGGTCGGAAGTTTGAGTTACTTGTATTGTGTTTATTGTCAAATTGTTGACTTACTGTCATATATTGCTTAGCAACTCTCAGAGAATTGTTATTATATGAATTAATAATAATGTGATGTTTTTTTGATAGTTTACGTCAGGCCGCTCGTCCCGATGAGATGCGGACGCGTCGCTGTGAACGGACGGTTAAGCTTTGGTTATTGGAGGCTAAAGCCATACCGCCTAAGAAAAGATACTACTGTGAAATACTACTAGATGATACTCTACATGCCAGGTAGGTTTGTCGCTATATTCAACAAAATAGACTAAAATTTATGTACATATTTGTATATTATATAGAAGACATTATTTTTGAGAAGCTTATATAAAAATAATAACAATGTAAATCCATTGAGTGTTTTACACATAATGTAAGTGTATTTAAAATAAATGAGTATTAAATACTTGAATGGAATGACAATAAGTTATCTTAACAAGATTTTGATACAACAGATTGATACGTTCTTCTAGACTACCTAATGTATGATAATAGCACTAATGATGTGTTCTTCTATCCTACCCATTAAGTATGATAATAGCACTTCCAATATATAATCATACCATACATAATATATGTCATTATATTTTGCAGGTCTTCATCCAAGTTAAAGACTGAGCTGTGTTTCTGGGGCGAGGTGTACGAGTTCTGTTCTTTACCACCCGTGAGATATATTAATGTGAACGTGTACCGCGAACCGGAGAGACGACCGAGGAAAAGAGACAAACATGCACTAGTCGGTTAGTATTCATTCATTCATTCATTCGTTCATTCGTTCATTCATTCATTCTTTAGTTCATATGTTATCGAATATGCCAAAAGAATTACGCGTAAATGGCAAACTTAACACAAAAATACCTTCACATCCAAATAACCTTAAAATGTAGAGGAATTATTGCTTGGGTCAAAAATATAAAAAATGAATTAAAACAAATCAAACAGTTAAACAAAACAGACACAAATATATTGTATAAATTTCTTAAAATAGAACGACTTTAATAAGGATAATATAAAGAGAATGATATTTATTAATCTATTTTAATCGTATAAATGGATATAGTAGAAATGTCCCTTATTATTTTTAATAAGTTATTACTTAGATCCTTCCGAGCATCGCTGAATTCTTTGCTTGGTCATATACATTAGGATTACCTATCCAGCTATTTCAAAATATTTCCCAGTTACTCAACTATGGATATAACTAAGTATATTAAAGAGATAAACATCTCATAGTATGTATATTAAAAAAGCCGTTCCAAATCATTTAATTATCAATTTTTTATTATCATCATTGAAAGATCTCTAACTAGATAAACCCTTTAAGACCTCGCTATGAATATTTAATTTTTTGTATATAAATAATACATGTATTAAACAAAGATCTCTTACTAGATAAATACCTATTCAGTCCTCGATGTGAAAATTTAATTTTTTGTATGTAAATATATTAAAACCAGGTACAGTTCGTATTCCCGTGGACGATGTATCATCTCGGTACCCCAATGAGCGTTGGTACCCCATCAGTGAGGATAAGCCGCAGTCCCCGGCCCGCGCGCCCGCGCCCCTCCCCGCGCTACGTATCAAGTGTCGGTATCAATGCGTTGATGTACTACCAATAGACTGCTACGTGAGATTCCTGGATTACCTCAAGAAGAACTACAGACGTCTCTGCGAATACTTGGAACCAGTTATCGGTGAGGGCATATATTAGTATAATAAAACTTAATTGTGAGGTAAGAAATGTTGGCTATCTAACGAAAGGTTTATAATACTACCGACTACTATAAGGCTACCAATTAGAGGTATGATAGAAATATATGAACACAAAAATTTTTCCTTGATATCTTGGATATAATCAATATAGTATAACAACGACTTACGTTATGAAAATACTCGCCATAAATTTCCTCTTGAAAAAAAATTCCCGAGTTAATTATAATTGAATCTGTATGACCTATACCAAAAACCAACAGTGATTATATTGTTATTATACTAATTTTTCATTAAATGTCCAGGTGTGAAAGCTAAGGAGGACATAGGTTGTGCTCTTGTGTTGTGTATGGCGGGTGCTGGTCTAGCGCCGCGGTATTTGGCGGATGTTGTGGCGTTGGACGTGCGGCGTACTGGCGACCACTCTCTCACGTTTAGAGGAAACTCACTCGCTACTAAGAGCATGGAGGCGTACCTTAAACTGGTTGGAGATCAGTATTTACAGGTTTGTTACTTTGATGTATATGATCCATATGAATTAGTATTACTATGAAAATCAAAAACTTCAAGAAATATGAAAATTATTCATTTTTATTCAATATGAAATGATACTAACATTTCCGGTATACTATTATTCTATTATTTTTAAAAGCTATATACTCCTGACGTTTCGGTTACATTGCAGCAACCGTGATAACGGGCAGTCGAAATGAGAATGTCTGTCAAAAGACCAACTGGTCTTGTTATATATCATTTACAGCCAACGATTTCTTAAAAACTTGAAGTAAACGTAGGTAGTATGTAGTTTTAAAAAATAATAAAATAACGACTAGTAATCCTAATATATTAGTTTCATTAGAATGAGTATTCTCGAAAGTCATACATCACATGATTTTTTTTTTAAATAACATGTTTATTATTTAATAATACTCATACATATCAACCCATCGTCACCTCATTTCATCAACAATAAATACATCCATACTAAATTATTCCTATATCAATTCCAGGATACGTTAGGAGAGGCGGTATTATCAGCGGCTGGTCCGGGCGCCCCCGAGTGTGAGGTGGATCCTCTCCGCGCTGGTTCAGGCGCAGCTCTCAGACGTCAGCAGACAGCGCTCCGTGACACTGTATCCCTCGCCTGGTCGGCCATCGCTTCCTCCGCCCCACGCTTTCCACCACCATTGAGGGACTGTTTTGCTACCTTCCGTGAAAGGTACCAAGAAATTTATGTATCCACTAGCTGTTCCTCGCGGATTTCCGGGATGTAAAATAGTCTATATCTTATTCGTATACGTCAGCTTCCTGTATACAAAATTTTATCAAAATCGCTTCAGCCGTTTGAGCGTGAAGAAGTAACAAACATACATACTCACAAACTTTCGCAATTATAATATTAGTACGCAGATTTCCGGGATGTAAAGTAGCCTTTGTGTTATTCCTGGACGTCAGCTTCCTGTATACAAAATTTTATCAAAATCGGTACAGCCGTTTGAGCGGAAGTAGTAACAAACATACACACTCACAAACTTTCGCAATTATAATATTAGTAGGATGATAGTCTGTTTATAATCTAAGACTTCATTCTCACCATCAGAACGAATGCTAATCTGGTGCTAACCAGTTTTTATGAACTATATTTGTTTATTTGATAATACCTTTGTGTGGCTCCATCTGAGTGTTTCCGGTAAAGCTTAATAATGATTGTGGGTAGTCACTGTATATGTTTTTTAACCAAACCCTTGAGCATTTAGAAAACTTTATATAAAAGAAGGGTAGAACAATTTTGAGATGCCATTGCTTTCATCAAAATTACTTTTATTAAAAGTCAATTTAAACGTTTGTTACTTCCTTATTTTTTTCATTCCACTATTGTTATTGAATTTATTCACGTCCTCAATCCAATATTATTTTATTATTTTATCATCAACTTATTCTGACACGTTTATTGTTTGTTTCAGGCTAGCATCAATGGGCCGGGAGGATATTTCAGATAACCTAATAAGTGCTTCAATTTTCCTTCGTTTCCTTTGTCCTGCTATTCTTTCTCCCAGTCTCTTTGGAATTATTCACGGTTAGTACCTATCAAAAACTTCCTAAGAATGCCATTAGTTAAGGCTATTGAATTTTATATCACAGGCAATATAATTTTCTTTAACTCTTATAGAATACCCTAACGAGCGAGCAGCGCGTAATTTGACTCTGGTGGCGAAGACTTTGCAAACGTTGGCAAACTTCACGCGCTTCCAGGGCAAGGAGGCTTTTATGGAGTTCCTCAACGACTTCTTAGAACAGGAGGCACCCAATATGAAAGCTTTCCTAAGGGCTATATCGGTAAATTATTATATAATAATATTAATACAAACAATGTGTACATATATATGGGAGAAAAGGAGAAATACAATATCAATAAAATTCTTATATAACATTGCAAACCACTATGTAATATCTGAACTAAAATTAAAATCACCAGTATAGTATTATAGACATTAAGCTAAATTCTTCAACGTTATTCTTTCAGACGAGACCTCAAGAGCAGCAACATCAATCCAGCCAGCAACAGCAACAGAGCAACCAGACCGACAGCAAGCGAAACTCATCCACATCCCACTCATCTGTGGAGGGGGAAGTGGACCCTGACCCTGAATGGGCCCCCCACGTCGATCTCGGCAAGCAACTAGCAACACTGCATTCCTTGCTAGTGGACAGTCTGCCGAAATTGTGTGCTGCTAAAATACAGGTAAATACATTACATTATAAATACATTACATATATTATACGACAGTACAGTTCCGTATATAGTTTTCATTATTTATTTATTATTTCATTAGTTTTAATAATTTTTTAATTCTATAGTAGGATATAATATATGGAACAGATCGGAAATTATTTGAGTTTTATAAATGTGTTTCAACCCGCTCTTAACTTTGATCGTCTTGATAACTTCCATATCCAAATAATTCTAACGTCTATACTGTTTGTTATCTTGTTTTATACGGAGCGAAAATTAAAGAAAGTAAATATTTATCATTCTGAATACTTTAGTAGATTCATTATACTTATAATTTATTTATTTCGCATAATTTTATCATAGCAATATTATTATTAAAAACTTTACACAAATAAACATAAATTTATTTATGTTATTAATTGAATCGATTTAATTTTCAGGAGCTCGATCCACTGACTGATATTTTAGATGAACTAAGCAAGAGATTATTGAGCAATGACAATGGACCGATACCTCAAATAGGTGACAATATATTCAGGTAATTATTCTTAAAATCTGTAATTATTATTAATTATTTTTATCAGACTTAACACTTTCTTGGTTTCAATTGCAGGTTCAATGATCCGACATGTAACGCACCCACAAAACAAAACAACGACACACCAACAAACGGTCCAATGACGAATAATTTTGCTCACAGTTCGCCTATAATGAACAAAAATGGCGTACAATTCAACATAAGTCCATCGAAATCGAATGCCGAGGACTCTAAATATAAGGGATCGTTTGCAACTGTTTCTAAATCACCAAGTTTTAATTTACGCTCAGCGACGCTCCCAAGAAACGGATACGGTACGAATCAAGTGAATCAAAACGTTAACCCAGATAGATACAGCTCGCAGTACAATAACCAAGAGCATTGTGTCAATTTGAAAGTCGTACAAATTGGCTTTGGTTCGGATCAGTATCCCAAAGGCATCAGTAACGGTGTGAATGAAAACGAGAGAAGGTTTCAAGATAGATACAAACCTAATAACTTTAACCAAACACATTTCCACAACACTAATTACAACAGCACCGAACGCTCGCCAAGCAGCGACAGCATTAATCACAATTACTGCTCAAACGACATGCAGAACATTATGAAGGAAACGGCGACCCTGGATGAATTATCAGATCTCTTGAAATACGCTGATGATTCAGATATAGTAGATGAAAAAATGATGAACAAGAAGAATATATCGCAATCTAAAACCAACAATAACAACATTATAAACGGAAACAAAAACTCGTACACAAACAACGGCTCGAACGTGTCTATTAGCGGTTTGTCAAATGTTGCGAGCTCAGGATACCAAAGTATTGCTACTTACAGTCAAAGTTCCAGTCCCATAGAAAACGCGACTCATCTCCACCAAGCCTATGAAAACGGTGGACAGCCGATGAGCCGCTACTCACAACTAAATTACCAAAAGCAGAGAGATAAGCAGTATTACGAAAATAAAAATGAAAAATTCTATCCAAAGAGCCCAGTGCAGCAAAAAATTGAATACGATATCCAGAAATACGGCATACAGAACTTCACGACCGCCGACAACGTTCAAAACAACACAAACGCTAATACTAAAGTAGCACCGCTTGTTTTTACAAATCCTGTCTACAATATGGATGACAACAGACAGTCACAGGATGCGAAGAAAACTAGTGAAAACAGAAACTCCAAGCGATGTCCATGCGGCTCATCCAGTTCATCCATTGATGAGGAGGGCTTGAGCACTGACAACGTGGAGACCAACTCCGAAGAAGGTTCTACCAACTTCAATGATGATAGAAACTTCGACAAACAGAATCGTAACGCAACCCACCGAAAACTCACCAGAGATAATTGTAATTACGAAGACGTGTACCAGAGGACAACTAATCATAGTAACTCTCCTAGAATAAGAGACGATGAATCTTCTAGTAATTCTCCTAGCTTACGGAAAGCCAGCAAGACGCGAATGCCTAGAACGAATCCTATGCTCTCTTACTCGACTAACCAAAATCAACTCAACCTTAAGCATTTCGGTCAGCGGGGTGAATCTTTATACGAGAGTAAACCTCACCACATCTCTACCGATTCCGGATATCCGATGAGCAGATCTGATTCCAACGTGGAAGAAGTGAACAAGGAAATGTATAGATTACAAATATCTCGAAGTCAGAAAGCGTTATATAACATGGAAAATTCTAAAAACTCTCCAGAGAAGTTCATTGCGGAGAATTCCATAGCGGAAACGAACTATCCTCTAGATAGAACGTACTCCGGAGCAAAAATATCCAGTAGCAGGTTAAATGAGGATCTGGAAAGACATCAAGACTATTATGGTATGAGAGAAAGACGGGAATCTCCTTCGCGAGGTTTCAATAGGGAGTCGCATTCAAGCGAGGCGAGTGAGAGGGTGCCCGTGAGGGTAGACAGAGAAGCTCCTGTAAGGGACAAGTTGCAACGGAGACTTAGCTTGGAATCAGCCAGGGAACTCACTGACAGCTCAAGCGAAGTCGACGACACTTTTTATAGTACAACTGGCAGAAAACGAGCGAACAAGCACCATAGAACCATTGAACAGGTAAACTTGTAACTTGAACATTTTCTCATATTAATACCTTATGGTTGTATATGTTCATAATAATCGAAGTTTTGATATCAAAGTAACATTTTATCCAATTTTAGTATGAACGTGAAATAGAGAGGCTAAAATGTTCAGTGGAACTTCTAAGGGGGCGCTTGGGGCCAACTGATTCTGGCCAAGATCAAACTGATGCCAAAATGAAGGCTATTATATCCAGGTAGACATTTATAATAATAATAATAACTTTTTATTTCAAGTGACTATAACTAATTTTATTGTTAGCGATACATATACTTATCTCCTATGTTAGTATAATAAATTAATTAACAAAAAAAAAAAACTATCACTAAATTGTAATCATGGTAGTAATTGCTGAACTAATCCGCTCTAAATTGCACAGCAATGACAAATCAACGTTACTATTTTTTTGATGCGTTTGATGACCTGTTCTAAACAATATACATGAATGTTATACCAATATTTTATATTTTTTCAGATTAATTTGCGTAGAAGAGGAGCTTCGCCGGGAACAGCGTAAGATGGCCGCCGCTTTATCACACAAGCAACGCGTGATTGAAGCTCAGGAACATCGCATAGCTGCTCTAGATGAAGCTAATACGAGGCTACTATCAGCTTTGGTTCATTTACAACAGAGAGCCCCCCACCCGTCACACAACAACAACAACAGCACTTCCCACTCCCCCCACTCACAACACTCTCATCAGGAATTACAGATTTAATTAATCTTCTTGTTTTCTATTCAGGGTTGCCAGTTTAAAGTCTATTTTAAGCAATATGATACCCGTACGATTATATTTAATGCGATCTCTGTATAAGTAGGCGTTTCGAAAGGATTTGTTTTTATTGCGTTTACTGTATGTAACCTAATGTGACTGCCATTGATCCAAATTTCTAAATTATATTCCTTATTACATTTTATGTGTAAACAATGACAATTTCATTTATATTTATCAAATAAATTTGTATTTTAACTTTTGTAACGTTTTGTCCTATAAAATTAAATTTTTTGCACAATTTTTCTCTTGATAAATAAGTTTTGCATTTCAATATTATTTCATATTTCTAAGCTAATATAGTTTGACGTAATTTGAGATGATTATTGTTGTAATTAAAGTAACCTTATCACAATCGTGACGTTTTTTTGTATACTTTTGTTAAATGTTGTTTCTTTAGTTTTAATGTACAATGCTTTAAATGACACTAATATTTCTTTTATATCAGTATTCTGTATGATTAACTCTGGTTTAATTTCGCAAGTGACAATTATTGTTTTGTTTTCTTTATGTAACAATGATACCAAAGAAGTTGAATATCCCTAATACGGTGTGGATACTAGACCAAATGAGCCTTTGAAGACATCTTAAGGACTGTCAATGGATAATGAACCTTAATTAAATAACATTAAGGTGTGATGTCGTATAACTTAGACTGTTAGGTTAATATTATCTGTTTCTCTAGGTTCAAGTCTTTAAGGCTATTTGGACTAGTATCTCCAGTCGGCGACTAGAGTTATAGTAGGACTTCTAGCGCCCTCTATATTAACTCTAGTGACATATTTTAAAGTGTTATAGATTATATTATAACGTAAGACTTGTATCATAATATTTAGTAAATATAATTAAACATAGTAACACGATGTTGGAAAAGAGAAAATATTTTAATACCTACGAGTATTATAGCGTGAATATAGAATAAAAATACAACAACAACGTTATTGATTTCTAATTTTGCATTTCGGAAATGCTTTGAACAAATTGGACAACAATTATATTTTAATAAATTTATTCTATACGTTGCAATTTATAGGGTCCCAGCAACTTAGTTGTTTTACAGTGAAAATTTTAATTTTAAGACGTATCATTGTAAAATTAATGAGTATATTATTATAATATACTGATCACATTAAATTATGGATTACGTATTTGTTGTTTCACTAACACCACTCTAACGATAACCAATCCTTTCATTCCTCTGGCTCAATGCCGTCTGGCAAACAAGAATATCTCCTTTTACCCAAGATCAATTTGCGTTCTATTGCTTCCCTTGAGCTATAGGGGTGCATCAATTGAACCTCTTCAATACGTGAAAATAAATAAGAAAAATATATTTCACGGAACTTCTTATCCGGGAATTGTGCTTGACACATTGTCGGCCACAGCAGGTTTGTAATATAAGCGTATGATCGAAACAGCTCTAGTTTATATTGTTGTGCAAATTTTCGGAATTTATCATTCAACTCTTGCTTGTAAACCCAATTAGTATGACCAGCAAACCTTGAATCTTTCTTGGGTGCAACGTGGCCAAATCCTTTTTTCGCAAGGGTTAAAAATGTTTGCCAATACGCAATACTCCTCCTTAATATTTCTTCCTTTTCAAATCTTGAATATGGTCCATAAATCCTCCACCTCATCCATTCCCGTAGTTCGGGCACTAAATGTATATCCGGCAGTTTAGCTGCAATATTTATCCGACGCATATGTCTTAAGGCGCACTTTAGGTAATCTTCAGGCTTAGGCTTATCTCCTAAGCATGTTACTGATGACCTCTTAGCCTTTTTCTTCTTTTTATTCGTTTTCTCGAGAGCTGCACTGTCGCCTACACATAGTGCGCTATCTGTTTCCCATATTCTTTTGAATTCCTTTTGAATATAAAGATGCTTCTGGTCCACATTATAAATCGTTTCATAGTTAAATTTGAATGGGGCAAATTTTGTTGGTTTCTCAAAGAATGGTAGTTCAGATGGTGGGAATGTTCCCTCGTTACCGTAGTCATAATGATGGCCACAAGTGCATTTAGTCTCTTTTACGTATTTGAAAGCAGCTTCTTGCCATTTCTTGAGACAATCACAAGGGTCTGGTTTGGGAGGTGGAGGTCGTCCACGGAAACCACAGTGAATATTAATGTATTCGCCATCTATTAACCTATATCCACCATTAATTAGATCGCCATTTGGTGGTAGTATAGATACGTTGCCAAGCACATACACCGTTTTCCCGTGAATACGATAAACCCCATTTATCGTGTATTGAGCATTCCAAAGGCCAGTTTTAGGCGAAACAAGCTTTTTTCTTCTTTTGCCTTTATTTGGCGGGCCCATGCTAATACCATATGTTTTCTTCACCTCAACACACATTTTAGACCCTCTGCTTCTGTGGATCTGACTTCGATGGGTAACAGTTTTTACAGCAACAGCGGAGACTGAAGTATCAGGTTCAATTTTATAAATTCCTGCTAATTTATCACAGTATGAACGTGGTAACCTTTTCTTAGGGGGCGGTGGTGGAGGGGGTGGAGGAGGTGGTTTTGGTACGGGGGGATCTTCCTCATAAGGTTCATTGAGATCATCCAAATTTGGTAGTGGAGCTGGTTGGAAAGGTTTCTTTTTGGGCGGCAAATATAAAACAGCAATCATATCTTGTAGATAAGGAGATTTTAATGGTTCTGGACGTTTTTTTGTAGGTTTAGATTGTTTAGGTTCCTCAACAGCAGCTGGGCGAAATTGAATTTTTAAAAGTTTGAGTAAATTGTTTAAACCTAAATATAGTATACCAGACAACATAAGTCTTGCGTTAAGACAATATGATGATCTCTTTGATTCAATTGGGTGGCCGTAAGTCAGCAGAAAGAGTTGCGCCAGCATTTCTTTTGGATCATTTCGTCCAAGATATACACAGCTCATGAGATCATCGGTTTTTGGTCGGGGATATAATCCTAGCTGTCGCATAACGTTAGCTGTTCTAACTGGGATACCCTCAAGTAAGTCTTGATAAATACTAAATTCCAAGGTGTCAAGAGCGTTTCTCTGTGGAACACTAAGAGCTTGTAGCCAAATAGGACCTATAAGTTTCTTCACTGTTTTTAATACATTCTTTTCTTGTCTTCTTCTTAGGTCCCTAAGATCTTGCATAAAAATTTGGCGTTCACGTGTTTGTCGCGCGTACACCACTTGAAGTTTGCGCTCCGCTCGCTCTTCATAGCTCGTTTCAGGGCCATGATCGTTAACCATTTTTCCTCTAACGGTTATGAATTGATGTTAATGGTATCGTTTTCCTAAGCATGAATACAAAGATAATAATTCCAAACCGCAATTTTGATTAAAATAATGAAATACAAACATAATCCTGTTTTGAAGATATATAAAAATGTTATGACAAGATTTATTTTTTTTGTTTGACAACATACACAAATGAAAGGCAAATAGTTTGTATAATTAAAATATTTTAATTGAAATAAGTTTTCATGCAAATAAAGGTTACAAACGTCAAACACAAGCAACCATTAATAAATTAAAAAAATCAATAGTATATTAAAACTGCCATCTGTTGTTGGATAGCAAAACATTGATAGCTATATGTTATATGAATAATTAATTATTGACACTATATGCAGATGTGTTTAGTGCTTAAATACAACTTTCGATAGTTACTCATATATGTATATGTTATATAGTAATGTGACTAAACGAATAAATTGTAATTTATTACTTTATTTCTATTATTAAATTAATTGGAATAATTTACATAATGTATTGTAGTCACATATGAAAATAATAAAACCATTTAGCTATATAAATAAAATTTTTAATTGTGCGAAGCATCTCAAATATGTGACAGTAAACACTCATAGAATTTTAAACACGACCGCCAAAATAAGCTCAGATAAAGCTGACTTGGAACATTTCTGGTATTCATGTATGGTAAAACATTTGCATTCATACATGGGTTACGTCAATAAATCACGCATATATTAATAAGTAACAGGCATTAATGCCGACAAAATTATTTGTTAGTCATACATGGGGTCGTGTCGGTGTGACGCGAGGAGTCGATCAGCTGTGTGGAACTCGGACGGTCCCCGACCCCGGGGGTGAATGCCCTGTCATCCATCACCTGAATAATTCCTCACCTCATTCATAAGCTAGCGAATCCATCTCAATATTTAAGTCCTATACATTCCCGGAAACCATCAATCAACACTCACAGTCGTACCTCAAATGTAAAGTGTAGTGAACCATTCAGTAATATACCGACTATACTCATTATTCGACCATTGTTTTGTCATATTGATTTTTAAATTATACTTTACTATACAAATACTATTAAATAATTCAGAGATTACAGTTATTCGACTATCTCGACTATTATCAGAAAATTCCCGAAAAAGAAACTAACGGCAAGCTGTTTATGACTTACTTTTTTTATGAATATTATCTTTGGATGGATATTAAATGATTTTCTTATATGTATTTCGAGAATCAACAATTTTAATATTACACTCGTTTCAAAATGTTTCATCAAATCAATTCTCGAAAAAGAGCTGATTATATAAATATGTAAAGACTCACATTCTGTACTATCTAATGTTATATAAGAAATCTTTTGTAACATGTCAAGACTATGGACCGCTAATAAGTTAAACAAGCATTGTCAATTTAAATATTACCTTAATATGAGAGTTCTATTACGTATATTCGCAAGAAGTTTTCGGGTTCATTGAACCCTACTTTCTTGGTTTTATATCGAACAAGATACTATCTATTGCCTAGGCACTAGGCAGGGCTAACCGGCGCATGCAACGTTCACTTTCCACGTGTCAGGAAGCAACTGCAGCCACTTTCACTCCATTCAAGATCACAACCGTTCCGCCAACTGCGGCTGCTCCTAACAATAACTCAATACCATTGTTTACGATACGCCTTTCATCATCTTATATTCATCTGCATTTACACAAACGAGCGCGGAACTAATGGAAGCGATCCATCGATACTATATATAGTTTGGTAACAAATTTTATGTCCATCTAGCCACAGTCTATATTTTTACGACTCGACTGAGTAACGTGTCGGTAACATTATTTAATGGTTTGTTTAATCTGTGGCGAGATGCACTTCATCTAAATTACACTATATTACGTTACCGGTTTCAGGGATTGTTTTCATAGAGCGATTTCAGGCGCCATTTCCCAGGGGTCGATGACCGGGCTCTTATCTCGTGTACATGTGAGTGTACACGTGTTGTTTGTATGTGTGAGTGTGCTGCGCTTGCGTCTCTTACGTATGTACATTAATACAAGCTTGAACGCACATTATTATGCAACTCCCAGGAACGGATAAGCATGTTGAAGAGAATATCAAAAATGTATATTTATATATTTAATATATACCAAGTTTATTTCGCTATATTAAATAATTAGCATTCAAAAATTCATATTACTCATATATATTTGACTTCGTATTTGTTTCAATTCTTGTCAGAGTGCAATATATTGAACAAATAATTAATTAAGGTCATGCTTCATAAACTGGATGTATGTTATATTTATCGACAAAATAACATCCAAGGAATTGTGAGTTGATACAAGTAAGTGAAATGTCTTCCTTTACTATCATACAATTGATAGTTTGATTGGACGAAATATATTTAAGATGAATGAAACTAATATTTTTCGAATTACTACGCATTTGAATATTTTGAAAAACTATGCATTTTATTATTTTAAAAAGCTACATACTCCTAACGTTTCGGTTACTTTGCAGCAGCCGTCATCACGGGCAGACATATCGCGTCGTCAATAACAAAATACGCGTAGTAATCCGAAAAATATTAGTTTTATTTAAATGAATACTAGCGAAAATCTTAGATTTCATTATGAATAAAACGCAGTAAGAAAATGACAAAAAAAATCATTGATTACTAAATACACTATTAATTCAAAATATAATAAGCGTAATTTTTTAATTAGACGCATTTCGCTACAAAGACCAGGAAGCATTTTCATTTTATGTCGCTTTTGTGTTTATTTAAGATTAAGAGATGATCTGTCACATATAAAAATATAATTAAAACGATCAATAGAATATCTTAAATTAAAAAATAAATTACAATTATCATTTAAAATGTTTCTGCAACTTAGTATTAGTTAGTTAGTACAATAAAGCACTTTCACGTTTTGCTAACAAACTGTCAAGTGTATCCACTCTATTCTGTAGACAACTAACTTTCCAAGCATAAATTATGACGGTAATGCAAATGTTTATTACAAGACGATGTCACCTCGCTTATGGCATTTTCTATGATAATTTTGTAATGAGTACTTTCATAATATATACGATAAATGATAAAGAAACTATAGTTTCAATACGACTATCATAAATTATACAGGGTGACTGGTGAATTACTATCAATATTTAAGGAGAATACTCGGTACATGATTCTCATTCGAATTATGTAAAAAATATAGGCACTTAATTTTTGACAAAATTTCCGTATAAATAAATAAAGTGTTGACACGTTCCAAGTGTTCCAAGTGTGGACGCGTGCGGCGGCGTGCTGATACAACACCACGCCCCGCTCGCTTATGTGTGAGTGTGAGTGTATACCTAATCTGTAGGGTGTTCATACGATGCGTAATTAATTACATAACTTTTGGTTAACTTTACTTAGAAGTTTATTAATATTTATGTTATATTAATTTTTATTTTGTCATATATGATCGTCAAATATCACGTCCTCAAGTATCGATAGTAATTCACCAGTCACCCTGTATAAGTAGTTACTGAAAAGAATTAGGACGGTAAATTTAAATGAAACTAATATTTTCGGATTTACTACGCGTTTTTTATTAAATGTTTTTTAGTTCAAAATAAAAAACGCGTAGTAAATCGGAAAATATTAGTTTCATTTAAATGAGTAGTCGCGAAAATCTTAGATCTCATTTGGAAATTTATTGGAACATTTGGAAATATATTGTTTATGTTAGGACCACGCATCACTAACTATGTCGTATATGGAACATGTATTCTTGCAGCGGAAAGCTTTCTATCAAATACCAAAACTATTCCAAAGCAAACAGAGTTACGTTACAGTTTAAAAATAAAATGTCTCCTCTAAGCATTAAGAGGTTGTTCACCCAATATTTGGGCGTTCCTTATACTAAGTGACACTTTGTCAAAGGATTCAATGTTATAAATTACCTCTTATTTAATAAGGCTATCTTCGGATGATCTAAATTAATCGCTGATTCGGATATGTGAAATTTTATATATAAAAAAGTGGAATCTAGAAGAAAATTTTCAGAGATCTGTATATAAGCATTTAAATTATGACATCGTTGCAGTTTTATATGCATTCAGTACTTTTAAATTCGGTTTTCTATGTTTTACATTAATTAATTTAAGTATTTTTGTTTTGACACACTAAAGGTTATCTTCCTAACCGAGGTGTGTGTCACGAACAATAAATCTTTTATTAATACAATGAAAATTTATAGTTTTAACCTCTCCCCTTGATCTGTTTAAGAGAGCCGAAATGTAATGACCACGATTGTTGTATTAAAAGGTCGTTATACTGTATTTATGAAGGGGTTTATAAATTTTAATTCATCTTAAATTGGTTAAATCATATCATTTTATTACTTTACTATACTTATGTCCAAAATTGTGTGCTTCTAATTCTATCTAATAATACTACACTGATTTGTATGAAATATTGAACTTGTAGAATTAGAAAACACATAAAGTCTAAAGGATTTTTTTACAGTGAATGCGACTTGTTTAAGAGGTTGAAAATTTTGTTTTATTCAGTATATAGAAATAATAAATGTATAGCCATAATAATCACAAATGGGATCTTTTTTAATTAGAATACAATTAAATTCTATTGTTTGTTTTTTCCCTAACTTTGTCATATAAATTAAACGACTTAAACATACGGACTAAAACATTTAAGACTTCTCTTTTTATTTAATATGAAAACAAGGGTAAGATTCCAAGTGCTTTTCGTAACAAATAAACAAAAGCCAATACTGAGTAGATGAAAACGTATATTTTACAACAAAAAAAAGAATATAATTAAACAAAATAATAAAATAAAAAGAGAATCTGTATTAAATGAAAAACCATATAATAAAAAGGAAATTAATAGTTATAAGTATACAGTCCATTTCAAGAAAGTATTTTATTACTTTATAGTGTTAGCAGAAATCGTGTGAGAGGCAGAAAGTATCTTGAGACATATACGAAAGCCATTCAATAACAAAGTTTGTATTCTATATCCCTTGCAGATAATTTTAGTATTTTGTACATTATCTAACAAAAATAAATGGAAAAGTTTCCCAAATCGTAAGTTTCCTGATAATGTATTTATTCAGAAGTGATGTAAACATTTGTATTCCGGTGACGGCGCTCATACCATTATCATTATCAGCTAATTATAGCGGGGCAAAGACCCCGAGTGCTCCAGTCAAGGGTACGTTCACTTCAAGTTCAGAGGTCAGAGGTCACGGCTGGGAGTGCCGAAGGTAAATTTGGCAGACACTGGCCTTGAACCTGAGATCGATAAGTCAATATCTAGGCCTGTCGTAAAGTGTAGTAGGCGGTTGAGGCTAACTTTTTATAAGACGAACGGAGATTCTAACGTTAGAAAGCTTTTATTTTACTTATAAGTTATAATTATTAGGCGAGATGTGGTGAAGCTGGTATAGAGTTTCATCAGTGATGTTTAATCAGATAAAAATTCTTATATTACATTATCAACAAATTTATTACAACACTACATATATGTACCTACAAGATTTAGTTCTTACCACCAAAGAACATTTTTTTTTAATTCTTTGCAAATATCATAAGAATTTTCTCCTTTCTTTCCTTATATAGAATCATTTCCAATACAAGTATGCAAAAACCTTATTGTAATACTATATACTTATAATAATTAAAAACATTCAATTTGTATACTTAACACGTGACACAGCGATGGTATGCACTTAGGTATTTAATTCTCAGAATAAATCTTTCTACACAATTTGTTCTTTTTAATTCCAAACCTTCGCTTAGTATAATTAATATATATTTGTTAATTAGGATTAATATTTATATTTTTACCTTAAACTGTTATTAAAACTCTGTGTGTAGTCAGTAGAATTTCTATCAAGACGAAGCTTTAAGCAGAAACTATCAGGTCCGTACAACTTCATTTATGAAAGTGGTATAAATTACTCGTCTAAAACTATATTATTATAATAAAGCGAGAACAATAAGTGCTTTCCAGGATTCCAAAGTGGAATAATCACGTTGTATCATATGAATTAAAACTCACCTTAAATCTCAATCTCGAAATCATTAAACGAACTTTAAATAACGGTGTTTTGGCTCACTGTTTCCATAAAATAATCACATTAACAATAAACACTACTAGTAGTTGTTGATACACAATAGTGTAGTTGAATAATTTAACATTGCATCAATATTGTAAGCATTATACTTAATATACATTTGATTAAACATGATCTATACTGAGTTATGGATTCCGAATTAATGCATTTAGTAAGGTTCAAGCCACGTGATCGTTTAAAGACCTGGTCATTATTATTTATCAATACGAGTGACGTTCCAACAATGGTTTTCCGGTTTCCTAGTATGTGTGTGTGTGTGTGTGTGTGTGTGTGTGTGTGTGTGTCTGTGAGTGTGTGCGCAGGATCGTATTACAGCTGAAACTCAGGGCGCCTGCCGAAAACTGCGGCCATCGACCCGGTCAGGAGCCCGGCCGTAGACTGCGCTCCGTCACTTTGATACTATGTCTAACGTATAAATCTTCAAGGTTTCGTGATATTCGTACATTTCATTTAATTTTTATTTATTCAGCCAATACTTTTGAATTACCATGGAGGTTTTACTAGAGCGAAAAGATTTTATTTGTTATATATAATATTATATAACTAGCTGGTTACTATCATTTTTTTTTTCAAATTCATTCCATTCCATTCCTTTTTTAAATTTAAATTATTTTTTGTTTTACTACCATTTAACGACGTCCCATAGAAGATAAGACTGTGTATTTTTAAATATAAAAATAGGCTTAAGCATTCAATTATGTATAGAACTTAAATTTTAATCGAAAATGTACAATAATAAATGTTTTTAGTTGTATGAAGTATCATGAATATCCAATCGTTGTAGACAGCTCGGTGATATATTTGGTGACATTGAACTGAGTCCATTGCCAACGACCTCGCTCCTCGGGAAGCTCCGCGGTTTGCGTAATCGCTCCTGCGTACAAACATCGACCTCACGCACACAGACAAACAAATAAACACTCACACATACACACATACACATGTATTATGAGCAATCAGTCAATCTTCCTTGCACTGGGTAATGGAATGTGGAAGTACAGTCTTGATAAACAGCTATTAATATCCTTGTATTGACTGGTTTTTAAGTTGACTGTAACAAACTGAATATAATACGCTATGGAACGTTCATATCAATTTAATCATTATTATTTCATCATCTTGTTTTTATAAATAAACCTTCTTAGTCTGCCCTTCAATTTGTCGGTAATGGAAAGACCAACGTTTTAAATTAATTCTGTTTTTAATTGTCACTAATACTTGTAGCTTGTATGTATATCTGAACATTCATAACTATTTATTTTAACATTTTTTTCTATGATTATTTGTTAAAATAAATAGGTGTTAAAAATACATACATACATAACGGTTAATTCAAACTATTTTTTAATGTTTTTATAGAGGCTAAAGCAAATTTACTTATAAAACATCGGTAAATTTTTGATTTTAAATGAATTTAATATATAAGTTTTCGAGACTTTATAGCAGTAAAAGCAAATTTACACTCAAACTTTTTAAATTTATAATCATTGTTTGTACTTTATAATCTGTTTTAAGTGGGATAATTATTATATTATTTATTTATACATAACTTGGTTGTCATAATTAAATGCCCTTATAATAACTTCTAACATTTAAAGGGTAAATCATAAAATAAATTTTATTGTTTAAAAGATTTTTAAATGGTAAATATTTTGACTACTCGTAATCCCTCACTGAAATATAATTAAATAAATAATATTGTTATTAAAATTCATTTATTATCACATAATTTTATTCTTTACACGTGTACGATGGAATTATTAATGACGCTTAAGGGTGGATCGCGTCTTAAACAATATCTATATCCAAAGGTTTCAATTTGAAACTTATCCGGGCACAACAAGGATACTAGGAGAAATAAGTTGAGAACAAAGACCTACTAAATACAATATAATTCAAAAATCGAATTTCTGAATTAAAAAAAATAAAGTGTCATTTTATTTAAAAATATATAACCTCTTTGTTTAAAAATCAAACGTCAAAGTATGACGTTCTAGAACTGACGTATAGTCATGAAATGTCATGTTTCAGTTATTAAATCAAAATCAATCAAACAACGAACACCCACACTCGAATGAAAGTCAATAGCTTTTTTTTGGGACTTTTTTGAATTTCTGTATGATGCAGTTAAATTTTATATATGCTCGTATGGTATTTAACAAGTCAATATTATATTTTCGTTCTAGGCAAGCTGAAACTGTAGTAATTTATATTTTTAACTAATGCAAAACATTAATGTGTTACTTAAATGAAACTAATACTTTTCGGATTAAACTACGCTAATTTTTTCTGTAAGAACTACTTACTCGTTTCGGTAACTTTTCGGTTGCGGTTGCTGAAAAGTAACCGTAGCGTAGGGAGTATGTAGTTTTTACAATAACAAAATACGCGGAGTTTAATTCGAAAATTATAAGTTTCATTTAAATGAATTCTCACGAAAGCCTTAGATTTTTATATATTACTTATTTTTATATAAAAAAGAGTGATAATATACATGCTTTTAGTTTCTTAAACCCTATTAAATTATTCTTTATAAACTGAGATACAAATTATTCTTATAATTCTTGCTTTACGAGTAGATTCATATTATACTGTTTTAATTTTCGATTTATTATGATGATTTTGTGCAAGAAGCTTTAACTGTTTAAAGAAAACGTATCAGTTATCAAGCCGTTCATCTACCTCGCGTGGTGTTCGACTAGACAGCGACCACTTTCACCGTCAGCGGCTACCACCGCCCATTACGTACAGAAACAGACATCAATTCATTATATACATTACTATAATCTATTAAACATCTAACTATATATACGAAAATTCAAGAAAATAACATTATTATAAACTTATCTTCTTGTATGTATTAAATTACAATTATTTTAGCAACCCTCGTAAGTATTCACGTATGTATATATATGTAAATATTGTCAATCCGTTTCGTGCTATTCAAGTATTAGCGAAGTTCAAAGATACGTTTGTTAATTTGAGTTGCATCCCAGTTAAGGGTCTAGAACCTGTTGAGGTGTGAGTCATGAGGGCACGTGTTGTTGCTCGCGTGAGGAGAGTTCCTGAGGGTCTTATTCCCGGCGGAAGGGTCCCGAAGGAGCGATCCTGGCGGGGTGGTGCGGCAGTGTGCCGGTCAGTCACCGCTGTGCCGGCGCGCTGTACGCTCGTTGTGCCGCTGCTGTTCATTCTTGTTTCCGACTCCTATGTTTATATGGTGTATATTCGATGTATGTAAGACGTATTGACGAATATACTGTCAGTTTTGATGTGATTTGTAGTGGATTGTGAACGACGTGTTTTGACAGTGAGTGACTTATTCTAGGATTGTTTTTTGAAGATCCGTTCTGTTTTGTGATGAGGCTAAGGATCGCAGGTCGTCCGTAAATTTTCAAGGTCAAATATCATCTTTTTTTATATTGAATTATAAAAAATATAAGTACTTACTTAACCTTAACAATAAATCTTGTGATTTTTTTTATATGATTTTCATTGTGACATTGTGGGTCGTTCAGTAACCTTGAAATGCACTAGTGCCATAGTGTTAGGATTTTTCATTTATTTTTTTTTTACTCCTAAATAATTATTCAATAATATAACATTTAAACACAAACAGACAATATATTAGTTTTGTATTTTTTTGTCTTCTTTACATAATTTTCCCATTTTTAGCCATATTTACTAAATATTTATTTCAATACAAAGCTTGTAGAGTGGCAATGTAGGGAAACAAAATCGAAATCACAAATGTAATCAACACAAAATAAATAAGTCGAGTCAATCGTTCCTTGCACCAGTGCAATGTACGCATTATATATATGATCTGTTTATACATATATTTGAAAATAGTATTAAAATATTTATGATAATAATTTAAAAATTATTTTGTGTAAGTATATTGGTATAATATCATAGTATAATTTTCGTGGTAACGACAACGCGAATACTTCGTTCGTCAGGTTAGGTCAATAGTTTCCGCAAGTCTGCATAATAGTTACATAACATTTCGTTGGAAAACATTCTATCATTTCCTCGCTGGTAACATTGCACATAGCTTTACATTATTCTATTCGTTCAGTTTGAACGGAAAAACAACGGTTGAGGTAAATTAACCAACTCTTCGGGAGCTACTTCAAAATTATCCTTAAGATAAATTTAAATGCCTAAAAGCAACGGTTTTTAATCATTTTTATTTATTCGTGCTTCTTTTTTAAACAATAACCAGCTTTTATTTAAATTAAAACAAATATTTTATTTAATATTTTTTTTATCCACGTTTTTCATAAATTTGTTACTCCATACAACTTTCGCTTCTTGGACGTAATTTAGTAATTATTTCGAATCTAAAATAATATTATTTATTTTATAGTTCCAAATATAACAAAATAATCCTCTTCGGAAAGTGTAAGCATTTTTTTACATTGTACATAATAAAAACAAAATTTAAACCGTGCCGATATTAAAAAAAGTTTAATAAAAAAAAATTCATGCTACTTAAATAAGGCCAAGGTCAATTTTAATACGGCTTTTGTTTTTAAAAATTACGCTGATTTTTTAAGGTTAATTAACAGAAAATCAGTAATGTCTCTCGTTTCATACATTTCATCTTCACATGTATTTTTTATAAAATGATTGGCATTTTACTAAGACTAGAAAAAAAATTCGTAAGACATACAAATAAAAAGTTCCTATATTGATATTCATAAAAGTGGACTCGGTTTTCAAAGATAGATTTTGTATTAAAATCTTTTGAGTTTCTTTTTATGAAATATAACATAGAATTCTTTTTAATTAATTTTCATACACATAATTTAATTGTCATATTAACAGTTGCAAGCTCTCCATACATCGCCACCCTGTTGCAGACATGAAGGAAAAAGGCTGAAAGGAAGGCGTTCACAAATAAAAATGTAAGTAAATTTAGTATTTTTTTTATATAAATATATTCTATTATCTAAAATTATACATATGTCGCGGAATTTTTAGGTAACAAGTATATTGACACCCGCCTCCTCATTGTGAAAGCGGGCAATACCCCAAGAATGGTCTCATTATTATAGAAATAGAAACTTTTTTTTAACATGGAACATTCTACTTTGAGAATATTTATATGTTGAGAGTTATTTTTTTGTATTAAATTATTATAGATGAATGAATGCTACGAATTTAAAGTTGTATTCTTTAACAATACCTTCAATCGATTGTATTGTTTTTCAATAATATTTCACCAGAAATTTAAAGTTTAATAATATTTAGGAAAATTGTAAATTTTCATGACTTTACTCTGAAATATTAGAGACGATAATTTTAAACGAATTATTTATACATTTTGTTAGTACAAAAAATATAATGTTTTAAATCAATTAATAAATTGTAAATGGTATGAATACTGATACGATCGGTGATATTTAGTAAACTAGCGTCTATTGTCAACCCTTCCATTATGAGTATTATCTGTGCGTTATGTAAGAGTGAAATTGTATACACATTGATGCAATGGAGTGGTTTCATTTGACATATTATTACCGCTATAAATGTGTTTAACGAAATGAAGTGAAAAGTATTTAGTTGATGTTTCACTTCAAGCGATTCTAACCCTTTCTATAAGGTTCTAGAGGCTACAGTCCCGCGTCAAATGAATCGTAGCGGGAATAATGCACTGGCGGCTGTAGTTTACGAGGTCTTTCACCTACATTATATAGGTCAGTTAGATTAGCAATGTTTCCCGCGAGTTGAAAACGCTAAACAACTTGTAGATAACAATTTTTCGTTTGACTTAACATTGTATTAACATCTAATGTGCATATAGAACATTTTGAAACAACTATGTTATAATATTCGAGCACTGGCAGTTACGGGTTGAATTTACTGTAGCGACTTGTTTCATTCTCATGACAAAAAGGAAAATTGTCAAATACTGGCATACAGTAAATAGAGCATAACGTCTTGTACTGTTATTTTAGATACGGGAAGTTCTTTCCTACCTATTGTTATTTACCTATTAAAAAAGAATATAAATTTAAACTAACAATGAAATGAGAGTATTACTAGGTTAACGATTTCCTTGTACGTTAATGTGTAAGGTCTCGCGTCCTCAATACTCTATTCGTTGTAACATTATCGTAAGTTACTCTAATTTACAGCTTTCACGTTCTACATTTGTTAAAATTGTTTTCATTAATTTTACGCTGCGACATTTTTATGAAACAAATAACCTTATTACAAATTAATCTAACATTTTTGCTTAATTTCAACCAGTTTTAGATTATTGATGAGTTTATAACTTTGAAAGGAAATTCTAAAAAGGATTTATTGTTACATTCCTAGGTTTGTCAAACCACTTTGTACAAAGTTTTATGGGTCGCCGTTTTATGTAATCTTTCCTAGAACAACTTATTCATGTATATTTGTTATTTTCAGTGATATAAAATCAAAATTAAACATCAACAACACGGTTTAGAATATGTGCTTTTACATAAAAATTGATAAGTCATGATTATAACAAATATTTTTATATCATGTGTTCCTTATTAATGCACAGTCACAAATTGGGAAACTTTAATTTTGATGAATAGCAGAGTATATAAAGGTTGAAAGGTGCAAAGGCGCTAATGATTTGATTGTACCGAGACCCCCGGCCCGGCCCGGCGTTCCTCGCTCGGGTCCCATCAACTGAACGTCCGTGAATGGTATATAGGTCAACTGAAGGCGCCTCCGCGTCTGTATTGTGCTTTAAAAATCACTTGAAATTTCAGAGAAAACCCTAAAACTGGCTGCCATTCAGCGCTCTGTTCCCATTCTTTTATTACTTTTACAGCACAATATCAATGTAACCGGTTATTCATTATCATAATTTATACATATATCACACGCGAAAGGGTTGGCTGTACCTAGTTCGTTTTATGCAAATTTAAACCAAAAAATTTAACGGTTTCAAGTCAATGATTGACAGCCCTTGTACTAGTGAATATGAATGTAACATTTGATACTTTTCTTTCATGTCTGGTACAAAGTAATCAAAGCTGCCTTGATATTGCTTCCTATACTTTGAACCTTCGAAAGTTATCCTTATTCAAATACAACGGCACGCATCAATGAACAGCGAATACTTAACCTCATTTGTTTAACTGCATTATAACGCGGATATGTTCGGGATGCCTTGAACTGCGTGTAGTTTTATACTAGATAGGGTCGTGTCTATCTAGTCGGGTTATAGCGATGCATAGTGCAGTCGGCTGCTGCGCACGGGCAAAAGGGAAAGTGTGCGCTTCCTGCTCTGACGCGGAAGCTATTAGCTGGTGCTTATACGTAACTGCATTTCGCGACGAGCCGTGCACTAAACACTTACAACATACATCATACCTTAGTTATCTCTATTTAGGTTAATAATTAATATAACGAGCAATTAACTAATAATTAAGATCATATAAATAAAAAATATATTAAATTATATGTTAAATACAAAATTTGTTACGAAGTATATAAATCAATTGCTTTTTTTTGCAACCTAATTAATACTTATCTATGCATCTATTCAGTTACTATTTATATTTTAAGTTAATTTGTCGTAATATTAAAAATACGTCAATACATTTATCAAGCGGAACTTATGTTCAGATGAAGATCCCTTTCTTGATAATATAATTAAATTCAAGACAATTTTAATGACATTTTATCTTGTAGATTTTATATACTTTTGCTTTTGTATCTGACATAGAAATTGCTCAATGATAAATTCTTTACAAACATTCTTGGGTCTCGATTATTCGACTCTAGTTTGGTTTTCGTAAAACATAAAATATATGTTCAATTATAATTGTGCTAATGGAAATCTAATTGAAATAATACTCGTGTGATTAGTTTGTTTTTATGCGCCATCTTGTATTCCCGCTAAAATATACTAAGCGAAAGGTTCGTTCAGAAAATAATATCTCATATAAAATGGGCTGAAACTACAACATTATGTCCTTAAAGGTAGTATTTTTACTATTTTAAAATAAAATTTGTATACACACAAGTCAATGGTGTCTTAGTGGTTAAAAGGCCCGCCTCTCATTCTCGAGGGCGCGGGTTCGTTCCTGGCTCTCACAAGTACCAAAGTGATTTTTCCGAGTCATATGTACTTTCTAAGAGTATTTAGACATCACTGATTAATGCATTCCCAAAGAGGGTTGATGTCAGGCAGGCGGCCGGTCGTAAAAGCAATTAGCCAAAACTATTCATAACATTTAAGGCAGATCCTGGCTATAGCTGGGAAATTGCCAGGTAGAAGAAGATGTGTGTATACACACACTCATACATATATATTCTATAATCTCTGTATATATATATATATACATATATATGAGGAGTTTTCTCTGAGCTGTTGCACTTTCTCCTCTTCTTGGGAGTTGAGACCTTATATAATACAAAGGTCACTCAAGGTCCATCTGAACTTGACTCTTGAATGTACTGATCACAAATAGAAAGCTGCCATGTCTTGAGTGACTTCATTCATTATTTATAACTTCAAATTATTTGTATATTACCAGGCAAATTTTATTTTAAAAATGTTGGTACTTGATTTACAAGAACCAATACTTTATTGTTGAAAATGCTGATACTTTTGAAGTTTCTAAACGTTACTTATTTCGGATTTAAATCTTCTTCTTCTACCTGGCAATTTCCCAGCTATAGCCAGGGTCTGCCTTACATATTGTGAATAGTTTTTGGCTATTTGTTTTTACGACCGGCCGGCCGCCTGCCTGACATCAACCCTCTTTTGGGGATTAACATTAATCAGTGATTTCCAAAAGAGGGTAAAATGTATGGTACTAATTAATTATTTAGTAGTAAAATAACGATAGAATAATACATGCATATGATATAATTTCCTTGAAGTACTCTAGTAGGTGGTTTGAGCCACGAGTATGCGGACGCGACAGCTTCCTAAGACACACCATATAAGACATAAAAGATATGTCATGTTGTTTATATAAAAAGATAGATTTTTATATAGAAAAAAGATAAAACTTGGAATATATAAAAAGTTATAGTTAAAAGAAAAGTTTGAATCGTAATTCGTAAAGAACATGAGTTATTGAAAAATATATATTTTGAATGGAATATTTAACAATAAAAAAAATAAATAATACGGCGTATGCAAGTAAACATTTTTATATATGGTATTATTTATATTTTATCGGATTATTTTTAAAAGTACATATATGACAATATAAATTAGTAAAATATGGCAACAGTTTAACTGAAGACTTAAGAATTGCTTTTCCCATACAATATCGATTAATACAATGTTTTCTTACAAGATTTTTTTAAGCATTTGCTCCACCCTCGTTAGGGCTGTCATTATTAAATTCGTCTTAGACGACTGCCTTACTCTGTCTTAAAATGCATCACGCGTCGGTAACCCTACAGCCTTCAGAACGAGCTCCCAACATTACTTCAGCTTGAGAAATATTAATATTAAGTTATATTGTAAATGACATATAACACAAAGAATTCTCTTCATATCAAAAAGGTTTTTTAATTTTACTTTGTATATTTTGAATATTTTTTTTAACTTTACTGTTATAAAACAAAAAACGCTATATATAACACAGGTACGTTCATAATAACATCATTAACAGTTTCAATAATCTGTGCGACATAGTGTAAAAGTGTCAGTTGTATGACAATGAGTATACTGTTTGCGGAGACAATGCAGTTAGACTGTGGCTCTGTGACGTCACGGGAGTTCAATGCCTCAGGTGCACACTTCCTACTCGCGCTGATTTTTTTCGTCACGATTCCGAAAACTAATTAGATGACGTCGTGTTCGTTTTGAGATCTCTTTATGTGTGTGATTTCCTGGTACTCAATTTGCCAAATATCTTCTTTAACCGTAAATGATTATTGAAATCGCTCCCTAATAATTTATTGCTCTTTAGGAGATGGCTGTCGGATTTCAATTTGTAATGTTTTGTCCGCACACCATATCGCAATCAAAGTCGCGAGGCGCCACCTCGTACACAGCTATAGATGTAATCGCACAACACTATTTGTTTTCCCGCACGTTTATTGATTTATGACGGACAAATTTAATTTCGCAATCCAATAATCGCACAATGCTTTCAGCGGAACGCAGCGGTTCACGCTCGAAGAGATCGCCGATGATGCGGATTTTAGAATCGATTTTATTCTTTATTTAAATTCGAACATTAAAAAAATTAACAAGAAATGTATGATATGGTTTCCGGACCGTTATAAATTAGTAGGTAATAATTATTTGGTGCAAAGGTAACAGCTTGGAGCGCGACGTCCGCTGGAGTGAGACAGCCATACATCTGCCGGTTCCGCAGCGATGCTAAGGACGGTCGTTGCCCCAAGCAGCCGCAAGTGAACTCCGAATAATATATTGTATGCGTTTATTTACTGTTCGCCTCTGTACCCAGCGATGTTTCCAAGATTAATTCAAACGGTGTTTTGACTTCCGTGATTTTTATTCAATAGTTCCTATGACTGCACGCCCTTCTATTGCTGGTATGTTTGTTTTTATTTATTTTTATATCTCAAGGTCGACATATTACAAATTTTCTAGTTGTTTCCATACGATCTACTGTGACTGTGTTTTCTTTAAAAATGCGCTAAATATTACGACAAATTACTTTTTTTTAATTGTCTTACTAATTAACTATTAATCTTCATCGCTACTAATTTAACCGCAATATATTGTGTTTGAGTTGTGTCAAACAAAATCGTCTATTAACTGTCGCGTCAAATGTTGTCACACATTTAACAATAATAATAACATTACAATTGTTTTAAAAGTCAACAATCGAACTGGCAATATCAATTTTCAATATCAAGGTACTGTCACGGGTCTTTGAACCGGTGACGTAACACGCGGTGTCATTCTCCCGCCCAAATTAGTATTAACCATAGACAACAAATGACAAATAAATAACAATCATAGACAATTTAAATTTATTCCAATGATACACAAAAGACGCTGATTTAATAAATCAAAAATATTAAATGTTGACGTCATAAAAAGTACGAGGGAATGAACAGATTATAAAAATTTAAATTTTGAATATGTCAAAGCTAGGATTTAACGTTTAGAAATATGAAATTTTAATATTAATAACAAGTTTATATGAAACAAAAGAAGTATGAGTTCCAACCCAATCGTGAAATACACTCATTAAGGTGTAAACAATGTAATCGGTGGTTATCAATAACCGATGGAGCATTGTACCGCAAATACATATTGATTGTTTGTCTTATCAATAATGATATTAACGTTGTGTGCCACAGAAAGATATGCCACAGAAAGCTATGATTAGCTAGAAGCTATAAAATATGTGAATTTAATGAAATTTACATACATTGCTGTCATAAAATTGTTTTCTTTTTTTTAATATTTGAATGTGAAATTATTATCAAATTTACAGTTATAACTATATTAAAAAAAAGGCTTCTTTATTTAATACAATATTAAGATTTGTTTATGATTCTCACTTAATTCGAATATGTGATATAGATTATTTGATGATCAAACAACTATACATATGTCAATTGTGCAGTATTTTTTAATTTTATTTATTAATATATCAGGTGATCGTATTCTGTACTCTGTATATAGCATAGCGCATCCTTGTGTAGTATAGTGTAATTACCGTGTTAGAGGGTTCAAGTTCGGACCGGCGACAATGAACTTGGCCGGCCGTGACTCACACATACCATCGCGTTACGAAACCATAAACAGTGCATCTGCAATCCGATGCCTGCTCTGTAACGGTCTGGTGACGTCACCCAACCGTGCATGCATGCACCAACCTGCCTAAAGATTGCTGCATTACCATACAATCGTCTTTTTCCTAATAAACTATCAAAAATAAGATCATTCTTCTCTTTCCTGGCAATTTCCCAGCTTTAGCCAGGTTCTGCCTAAAATAAGATCATTATTTGACTTTACAATGTATGAAAACCTCGTTGCTTTATATAAGACAGTCTTGCTAGTTTTTTTTTATTACAATACTCGTATAACTGTACTTATAGTGACGTAGATTAAACGACGAAGTATTCGCCATTTATTCGAAAAGAATGCACATTTTAAAGATAATTTTTGTGATTGCATGCAAAATAAACTATTATGTAGTTATTTTCTGAGTTTCATGTATATTGTGGTGGATTTGAAGCTTTTCTGGAATATTCGTGTCTGATCTAAAGATATTTTGGATATGTTAGTGACATAACGTGTCCGAGTGCCATTCCCTACCAAGGTTTAAGCTTCTCAATGCCACGTATTTTATTTATAACAATAAACATGATAATACAATCTTCATGTAAAATCTGTTTGGAAAATTTACATATCAAAGTTTTAGATTGTCTTGTGAAACCAAGGACATGAAAATTTTAATATACTTGTATGTGTAAAAATAAACATTTTCTCTATAGTAACGAATCTATTAAAAATCAATGTACAGCAATATCATTACATCAAATAACTGAAGTGTAATTTCTCTCTTATAAAATCGAAGAAATCGGGCACTTAAAATCATCAAAGGCTCTCCGAATCGGTACAATATAACCGTCTGCTATAGTACAGCGTAGTAGAATCTAAAAATAATACCATATCATACAAGTCTGGGAGCCGAAGAAAGCCGACTATCCCCGAAGATTGCCGAAGGGACGACAAGGCAGTGCTTTCCATGGAACGCGGAAAAAGTCCGCACATGTTGAAAATACTGTTGGCCATTAACCCCGGCCTACGCCTGAATATACATCTGTTACTGAAACTAGCGGCGCATCTTCAATTATATTTATAAAAGGCCTAGACATTTATAGCCTTATACCCTTATATTTATTATTAATATCGAAAATTCGGTCCCCTTATAGTAAATTTGAACTAATTAACTCGTTTTTTATGAATTTCTTTTGATTACAGTTCTTTGATTTGGATTTGAAGTATGCTCGTAGTATACAATTGCCTATATTGTAATTATACTCTGGATTTCTATGAGTCTGAATTTTGAAGGGAGTGACTAACTTTAAACAACATTTTACTTTTTTTTTCCACGTATTAAATGATGACAAATAACTCTTATTTAAAAATATCTTTAAAACAATAGCTGTTTTAATATTAGTAAATAATATGTAATCTTCCAAAATGTTCACTTTATTAATCTACATGATCTGCAATTTCTTTATTTTATTTCAAAGATATTATATCATTACTTTCTGTTTCCCATTTTTCCTTGTTCAAAAATATATTACGATCGTTCTATAAGTTTAGATACAAAATTTATCAAAACATTTAAATTAAGACTAACGAAAGTTAATATAAAACGATCTATAAATAAAATAAATGTAAATAATTCTCCTGAATTGGGTGAAAGAAGGTATATAACGCTAATAAAGTCACATGAAATTGTCTTTAAGCTAATCGTAATCAAGGATGGATTTACCGAACTTTACAGCCAATTAAAACAAGCAACATGTACTCATTTAATGCGGTTGACAAAAATATTCCCACGTTTAGGTCCTCGTACAAAACAAAGTTAAACTTTCAATGACAAAAAGGAATTGGGCCAAACATAACCGTACTTACGTAATGACTGGATAACTTGATACAATGTTGGAACATAATTCATAACGTTTAAAATTATTATATAGGTTATTTTTAAAAATGTCAAATTTTTATTTTAGTTTTTTTAAAGTAAAGATATTTTTTGTCTGAGACTGAAAGCTGTACAGCCAATGTTATAGCAAGGAGGTTTTATCGGAATTAATGAAATAAATTTAAAATAATTTCGACACTACAATATGGTTACCGAAGAGCTTTTAAATTTTAATGCGTTATCATTTACTAATATAAGAACATATTTAGTACGCCGTAAACGAATACATTTTAAAGTAAAAATTTTAATATTAACGTTTTATTGTGGACATAAACTATTGCGGTTCCGACGACAAGTCACATTGTCTCATTAATTTATTGCTGTAACATTTTTATATGGGTTCTTAAATGCTTTTTTTAAAGGCGTTAAGAGAATAATTATTTTCTTTTAACTGCTAAGGGGTTCCGTGAGTGTCCTTAGAGACCACTTAGTAACGTTTTAATGGAAGGGCTCAGAACACATCTCGACGCATGTTAATGAATTACGTTTGCCAAAAAACATAATTTCCCTAAACTTCAAGAGTCTAACTACGCTTTTAGAGAATTTCCAGCACCTTTTTAATCGAAAAAATGTAGAATATATCATGATTATTTATTCCATTTTTAATATGAAGAGAAGGTATCGTATTTTAAACGTGTACAATGATATATATACAAAAATATGTGGCAGTATAATCGATTTGAATCTATAGTGAGTTGTTTTTCATATATATATTTTTAATTAAACCACGCTAGGTCACAACGGAAAACGGAAGCATAAAGCAGAGCGTTGAACTCGCGTTGAGTCAATGTCAGCGTTGAGACTCGGGTCCAAGATTCGGTAGAGGGGTGACTTGGGGCACGGGGTAGAAGGGTGCAAGTACGGGGTAACGACCGGCCCGGGGTCGACGACCGGCGCCACGCGGCCGCGAGACAGAGACAGCCGATTGATTGGAGCGAGACGGGAATATAACTCGAAACCCTTACAGAACAACCACCCCTCTAACGTATAACGAATATAAGACCTTATCACGTTATAGATAGCGTTTGATTCAGCTTGCGCGATTTATGCTTGTAGGTTATTTTGTAGGTGGAACTTCTCAAACGCACACTGCGCCGTTAAGGGAAGTAGTTTTGCTCAAAATATTGATTTTTCTGCGAGGCTCGCGGCCGCGTGGTGTACGTGTGTGTGCGTGACGCGGTGCATGTGTGCGTGCATGTCTATTTTCGGTGTAGCACGTGGTTGTTGCTTGTTGACACGCGTTTTTATTTTTATAGCGGCACGGTCATTTAATTGCATTATCTAATAGTTGACTTGCGATTCATTAGTAATTTGAAGAATTTACACTTAAATGTATTAAATTGAATCTCGAATAGAAATAACGAACTCATTGTATGAAACGGGTTTGCGAACGAACGAAATATATGTCGCAGTGCATCGCACGGGATCCGCTTTCTCATTTCTTTTGACCGCTGAGAAAATTTCTCGAATTACATCAACTCACACACACATAGACACAAACATCGAATATTATTGAGTGTACGCACACAATCAAACCTTACCCTTGATTTTGCTCAAGGTCTCTACCCTCTGCTAGCACACGCTCGTTCCCTCAGGCTTCCGCATAACGCCGTCCTCTTCTAAAGTGCGGACAATGTCGAATTTCACCGACCGACTGCCGGGGTCAACGACCGGAACAACATACGTATTAGTAAATAAACATTGGTATAGATATTACATAATGAAACCATCGTATAATATGTTTTTCACCGGAGGCCGTCATAGTCTGAACGTAAGACATCCTTAGGTTACATCATTTCGATAATATCTTTGTCAAGTCTCTCAAATTATTACCAAATTACGTGATTATAAGTAAAGATTGTACGTGTGCAACAGGAACGGCTGACTTATGCAATTTGAATTTAAATTCGCCGTGTCCCCGCAGGTTGCAGCTGCTTCAATTAAATTAAACTCCGTTATCTGACATGTTTTAAATTTAAAATTGTTATTTCTTAATTGGATTAGAAAAACATAAAATATTCAAAAGTAATTTAATTCATGTTCAATAGAACTATATATATCTTTATTTTAAAATAATTGTTTCCCATACAATCCAGTAAATAGATTTTAATTTATAGGCTTAATTTAAATTCCAACGGTGTAAAGTAACAATGGATAATAGTGGCGTACAGGAACAAAGGCAAGAGGCTACTTGACACTAGGAGTGACTTGATCTTAAGTTCTAGTTATTCTAAGAATTGCATTACATCTTTTCAAAGAATCTAACACACAAAGCATCGTTTAAAATAACTTATAAAAGTTCAAGTTATATTAATCTTTTGATTAATTTATATTGGATATACGATTTCTTATTATTTCTGTATAGATCGAACAATATCAATAAAAATGTAACTGTCATGGAACTGTCATTATGACAGTTAATAATTTAAAACAAAAAACAAAGATCGACGTCATAAGTCCTCGTTAGTAAAATATTTTACACTCACCATAAACACTGGCATAAAATAATCTAAATACTAAAAAAAAAAAACAAACAAGTCTTGTAAACAAGCGGGAACTGTAAAAAAAAGCATTTCTTTACGTGTTGTGAGAGGGATGAGGCACCGACCTGCCCCCCGCGACCTACGCCAACATTGCACCAATGCACCCTATCTAGATATCTAGACGTCTAGATAGACGTCTGGCGATACACGGCGACGTGGCGATGTGTGCGTGCGCGCGTGCATGTGTGTGTGAGAGGTGCGCTTGTGAGGAATAATTGATAAAGTATCACGGATTCTTTATCCTCACAGTCGAGCGTTATTGATGAATCGTGACGTTTGTTTGCTTGTGTTTGTAATGTGATTAAAAATATATTACAAAGATTTACGTCATGTTCATTAAAGAAGAATATATATATTTTTTATACTTTAATGATATTATTAATAATGAGTTTTTAATACTTTAAAGATAAAATCAAGTTTTTATATTTTTGATAATTTCAAACCTTTTTAACTATAACGTTACCTATCCTATCGAAAATATTTTGGAAAGGAAATCGAATCATACTTAATCGATTTAATCAAGTCACCTATAAAACACGACCTACCCCAACGAACCCGAGCGTTGCATCTAGACTTGTGTTAGTGCTTCACACAGGCACTAACCCACACAGTCGTGCATTTGTTATGCTAGAGGGTGGAGTTCGTTTGCTATCGAAGGGCTATATATCGATAGATTTGCTCGGTTCAGACGGAAGTATATATCAATATTTTGCATAGCCTTGGGACGTCTGGCTTAAATTGGTATCATAATATGAAATCTGATCGCATTGATTTCCCTAAAGGTGTGAAATTTAGAAGAGCAATATAAAATTTAAGTTGATTTTGTCTGTTTTATCTTCTTATATTATAAATTGTCTTAGTGCAATCTATTAATTAATTCGAATACAATTTTCTAGTACTTTTAGATAATCTTTTATTTTTACTGTTTCTTCTTTTAGTTAATGATGGATTGTTGAAGATATAATCACAGCAAGTATATAATTTAGCTAAGTTTTGGGATAGACAACATTTGTTTACATAACAGATTTACATATTATTTTAGGTTAGAATTTATAAACTGTATCTACTAAATTTAAAATGTATAGTGTAGTGTTTTATATAAATTCGTAAATTATTTAATAATTCAAATTTATACTTCAATCACAGTAGTAACGGACAATTATTTTGATCTTAAGTTATTGTTTTTGTGCCCTCTAGCGGCGAGCGGATGCGACTTTTGTTTCGGCTTACTGCTAACAGATGGCATTGTATACAACTTGTGCATCAAAATTTTCATAACAAAATCATAAAATGTCATTATTTAAATTATGATTTAATGATTATTATTTTGCCTTTTGATTAATTATTCTATTGTGACGTGATGTGTACTTGACACACTGATGCCACTCTATAAATATTCCATTTAGTGTTTACGTATATAAAATAATACATCGACAATTATGGCAAAAAAATTATAAAAACAACAAGAGAATGATTAATTTATTATAATAAGCATAATGTTCAGAGTGGTATATTTTATGATCAGTAAACCGGCAACCGGCAACTGTTTGTATGGTACTTTTACGACGTGGTCTATCCTAGATTTACATGTCAAAGGAAGATGACTAATTATTATCATGGCAACGTGCCAGTTGAAGCATAGAAATAGGGCGACTGACGACCGTAAAAAAATTTAAAAGCTCTTTTAAAGGGTATACGTGGATCAGATGTCAATCACTATTAACTAAACTAATAAGAGATTTAATTAAATCTAAACAATTAAAACAAGAATATAGTTCAATAACTTATGAAACAAAGTGTTGATATATAATACAATATGTGAAGTGTTTCAATAGTACTGTATAATATAAGTTCGGTCTGTATTCCACCTGCCTTCGTTATCAAGTTCCCGAGGTGTTGCAAGTGGCGATACATCAAGATAACCTAATTCAGCATGGGAAACACTGTGGAGCACACTGCTCTAGAATCCAAAATAAGTGACAGAACAAACATTTCCCAAGACCCGTCAAAAATGTGAAGCATTTATTGCAAACAAAAGTGAAAAGTGAACGTGATGAAACTATTCCACCTATATACCTTAGTGTTAATTAGTAAAAGATATATGTTTATAAATATGCTGTAACACTTTAACGTTGATACAAATTGAATATTTTAATAAGAATCAATTATTGGCACAATGTATTCAATCCAAATACATAATCAGTGGGATTTTTTGTTTATTCGTCTATAAAAAAATTTAGGGTACTCGGGTTCAGCAAGTTCTAGGCCACAAGTTCGCCGTTTGTTATCAAAACGCTCATTTTACACTCACCCAGTTTCGGTACATTTAATCAGACTAGATAAGTCTTTTCCTGATTACCTAAATAGTCTGCAGATAGTTTTGATAAGGTTACGATTGTATCCTTTTAGGCTTTTATTGTTTTTATTAGCATTTGCTTTGCTTGAATATTTTATTTCATTCAAGTAGCAAAAGTACAAGTCGAATAAATTGCAATTTAAAGCTTCTGCTTAGAATGCAACTGACTTTGTCACATAGTGGCAGACGATAATTTTCTTTACAACATTTCGTGCTAATACTTATTGTTATAGACACAAGTTGTAACCCTAGGCTGGGTAATAGAAATAGAAAATATACATGTGTGCGTGTATTGCTCTTGTGTTGTTGTGTGTGCGATAATTAGTTTATGTAGCCCTCTCTCTCCTACTCGACATTTCACTGATAGCTGTGGCCTTGTCTAGTTGCATCTAATGCTGGTGTTAGTCTGTTTACATCCAATATTTGTTTCAAGTAACTAGAACGGCGACTCGTTCGTGCTGTAATACGTTTATTTTTCGTTACAATAAAATATACATTAAAGTAAGAATTTATAATTATTTAAAGAATTTTTAAATAGGATAATATGGATATAAAGTTCAAGAACGATTGGATTTAGAACAGCAATACAAACTGACAGCACATGGACGTTGCTCAAATTAATAACTAGTTCGCGGTTTTTTGTGCACGACTTTGAGTCGCACTTGGCCAATATTTATATTATTAGAGTGTAAACTTTCTAGGTCACGATATGGATAGGATACTAACATACGTGTGTAAACAGATGTGAGGCGATATATTTTTATGGCGGTGAAAAATAAATGCTTACTTAAATTATGAATAAATAAAAGAAGTACTAATAATAATAAAATATTAATATTTTTTGTGAAGAAAAAGTATATAAAGAAAATTTATTCCAACATAATTTTACATGACGCTTCTAAATCTTTAAATTTTGTTACAGGTGAGTGAATTTTCAACCTAAAAGGATTTTTCTATGCAGGTGAGGCAAGATAGTCTTTAAATCGGAAATGTAAGGTTCGAGTGATACAAGTTTCAGTGTTATATTGTTTAGAGTAACTCGATCGAGTACTGTAACGTAGTGAACACTCCTAATGTCCCTGTAGCGAATGTTGACTGTAGCGGAGTGTTGACCGGTATGTAGGTTACGGCAGTCCCGCCCCACGCAACCACCTCTATGAACCGTGCAGTTTTCAACATGAAAATGTCAAATGCACTCTTCAGAACGATGCATAGAAATAGGTTAATGGGAGCGCTGAATGCTTCCCTGAAATGACGATGTCTTCAGTTCGCTTTATTTAAAACGTTATAGAATTTCAACATTTATTTACGGACCTAACGTACGTCATATATAGATATAGTTATGTTCAAGTTTCATGAACATTGTACTAAGACTCTTAATATGAATTTATATTATTAAGATGAGACAAGATGTGGGGGATATAGTGAATGAGGCTTAGATAAAATTTATTAAGAAATTTTCTATTATAATTATGTTCAAATCCTGTCGCAGGGAAACTCACTCGCTTCTTTAAACTTGTAATAAAAATTGAACAAGTTCGGGTCCCCGCCTCCCGACCCTGGCCTACGTGCAAATTCACCGAAGGTTCCTAATTCGGTAGAATCTTTTGCGTTAATCGATCTAGAGGTCAGATGTTAGCTGAGATAATGATTCAAACCAACGTCTCTTCTCAAATAAATAATTATTTTCATGTCCACCGATACTCATTTGATATTGTTTTAAAGTGTTGTATTTATTTATATTTTATTTTCCTTTATTGCGCATCGGTTTTGTCCTCTAAATATTGTTTTGCTGCCTTGTACTCTAGAATTAAATTATCGCAGACGATATCGTATGAAACAATGATAAGGACGTGACCATAATTTTAGGAGATCGACAACCGGCCGTGACTCCGTTTGTGATATACATTGACATAAAAATTTGAAGGATTTCACGATAACATGCCACGAAAATGTAACAAACAATTTCCTACTGACTTATAATTGTCTATTATCTTTGTCTTTCTGTTTACCTCCGTGGAACGTTCAATGCGGCGTTAGACCGCCTCTAAGTGAAAGTGCATTGCGATAGTCAAGGCTTTATCACCTGCATTCGTGTTGCCACAGAATGGATGCGTAAACATAAAGCGTATTTAATGCGAACGCCGTCGTCAATTAGAAACACGATTTGTAGCTTCGTAAAATTGACGAAAAAAAAGAAAAAAGAAACTTGGAACCTATCCAAATACGGTGATTCGGTCTTTAGTCAAGCGATTTAAAAAAACAAAATATTTGAGTACAATGATCTCTCCTCATTATTAAAATTACCGCTATGAAGTGAAAACAATGAGTTACTTTCTAAAGTGCAAGCGAAATGTGGTTCGTTGGATATAGCCGGCGGGTTTTGATCGTGAACTGAACGTACTGAAATAACGAATGCGGATGTTGTATAACTAACTCGTACATGAGATGAGACGAGATCGGATCTAATTGAATTCATGTTAAATATCTTCGTAACATTTCACTTTCATTACGTACTATACTATTAGTTGTTTGACGGTCGAGAATCATTCTATTAATCTATTGCATAATTCGTATTTATTGTAAAACAGAATCTAACGAACACGTTTTATTACATGTATGTTTTTTTGTATCATAAATGTTTGCCTTAAATAAGTAGAGCAGCTTTGAAATCGGATTTATCATAAGACTAGTGGATGGAATAAACAATTTCTTCAAAACATTCTATTCAAAGTTGTAATACAAGACCGTCAGTAGGTATGTGTTAAACCTTTGTTCTAAGAAGCAATTTTTCTTTGGCACGGTCATGTGTCCGGAGTAGAAGAAATTGTGTAGTCCAAAATATAAGCTAGATTTTAATTTTGTATATAATTTAAATAATTCTTAATATTAATTATAATTACGGGATGTGTTGGAGTTATTTAAGTTCGATATTCAAGTCAAGCAATGGTTATAGTTGCTTAATAATTAGCGTTGTAAAGAATATAATATTTCTTTCATACTATGAAAGTAACAACGAACCACTCATAGTATGAAAGAGACATTTCCTATAAGAATATCAATGGACCTCGATGGCTCTCATTCATAAAAACGCCTTAAAATCATAATTCACAAATTAATCATTATGTACTATTTGGTAAATAATGAAATGGATATTCAGGCAATACATTAATTATTATAATTTAATCAACGATTTCTTTAATAAAGTCTAATTTTCAATCTATTATTTAATATATTTATCATATATATTAATAAATCGCTTTTCGCTTGTACATCAACACACCGGCCGGTGTCGGCGGCCGGCCTAGTTTCGCTCTAGGAATAGGCGCCGTCCCCCGCGCCGTGCACAAACCGTCTGTTTAAAGGACACACATACACAAACACACACACACACACACACACACACACACACACACACACACACACACACACATGAACGCACACACAAACAATGTGAACCCTTTGATATGTCCCCTGTTCGAGCTAGCAGAAGAGGTTTGATATGTACATTATAAAATATTACAAAACGTAATATTTAAGTGCGATCATAAAAAAAATGCAGTAAATATAGGAATTCTCTTTAAAATAAGTAATTGGATTTATAATGTGACTTTGAATGTGAGCGGTGTATGTTGAGAAAAGTTTTCGTAACAACATTAAAATTAACTCGGAATCTTTCAATTATGTTACAATAATAACAATGATAATGTTTAAAACATTCGCCGTCTACTGAAATAAAATAATCGACTTTGAAATATATGCAATTGTTTAAAATTATACATAGGTACTTAAGTATGAAAATAAGACAGTGAATGATATATTTTTTTAATAAATATTAGTATTTAATACAAGATATTTGTTATAAATAAATCAATAGAAGTTATATTTTATTATACATTTTATAATGCAATTAAAATAGGTTTCAAATAGACTTAAAATTAATGACCTATTAAATTATAAATCTTTTATTTGACTATTAGTCGGTATGTACCATGAAATCTAGAATAACTATTCTCGATTTTAGAATATCGTTAGAGGATATATTTCAAATATATCAATAAATAATAAAAATAGTAAAAAATAATTTTCTTATCAACTTCAGTCATTGAGGTATTCAATTTAGTTGTTAGTGACAACCCTGCATTAGATCAAGGTCATACATTTTGTTTCCAATCAATTCATAAACAACGAAATACATATTAGTTACATTGAAACATTCCTAGTCAAGGATATCAATTCAAGTATCGAATACTTGGAAAACGTTTAGTACTTATCGATTTCCTTCACTGACCTAGGTTGAACGACACAATGAGCTATTTCATATTATATTTATAGCAGCCTTTCCTTATAATAGTTTATTAGGTAAGTGAAAACAAATTTAAAAAAAATTTCATGGAAATACAAAAATATATATTTCAAAAATAGAACAAAAAAATATGAAAGATTTAAAAAAGTTCCATAGTGAAGATTTCGAAACAATCGGTTTCGTATATTGAAAATATATTACTAATATACAATTCTAGGTCTATGGTCATCTCTGGCATGCCCCGCTCTCAGTCAAGCGACGTAGTCCTTCAAATACATGTGCATATGTGTGCGTCCCGTCACTAGTTAACTATGAATGTGTGCGCGTAGATCTGTATGCACACACGCACACATACATAACCGCAGTTGACTACAGACTAAAAATAACTGAAAATTCGTTTTTGTTGGATGCAAGCTGTTGTAATTGTGTGTGTTTCATTTAAACATAAAGCCGTTAATAATGTTCTAGCTAATGTGCAGTCGCGTCACTTCGTTAATGCAATAGATGAATGCTACAAGTTTTGACAAACATTTGAATCTAGAATGTTTGGTGTTAGGACATAACTAAAAACATGACTTATGCAGCTAAGGTCACGCGCCGTGAAAGTTTTAGACGTTTAAAATCTTTTTATGGTTCTCATTTCACGATATCACATTTATATAACCTAGTAATTTATTTATATAAAGAGTTAATGATCACTTAACATAAGAGGTCTATATATATAACATTCAAATATATATATATTATTAATGTTAATGGCTTTGTATACACCCATTACTTTTCATTTATATAAGCTAGTCCAAAAATAGAAATACTATATGTATTTTTCAAAGGATAAATTGGTAGTGACGCAATGAATGTATCGATAGAATCCTTCAAGGACAACCTGACCAGCCGGGAACCGATATAACCCAGAAACCTTTCCAGTATAACTGCGGATCAATAGCGGGTGACCCGTGAAGTCATCTATAGGGGTGGATGTAGATAATCTCTTACTCGTGTAACGTGAACTTCGACCTGGGTTTTGGAGGTCATTAACATTTGGGCGGGTGGAACTAGGTCGGTGCGTTAAATGCAGCGTTGTCATGGCAACGAGCCTCTGACGACTCAACATGGCGGCGTGTTTATGACAAATATATGTAAAACTTATATATGTTCTTATATACAATTTTAATGCAATGTATACAAGAAAATATACAAGTTATATATATAAAATTTTTCTTATATACAATTTTAATGCAATGTATAATTAAATTGCATTGTGCAGCTGAAAATCTGCAGAATTGTTTTGTAACATTTAAGGTTGATTTGAAGGAGTTTCAATATGACATTAGTTCTTAACTATGATATGGTAAGAATAATGATAATTAAAGTTGGGGTTTGAATATAAATTAATATTTATTAAATGCAAAAGATATGATTGATCGGTTTAAAACGAACAGGCGCAGATACCCAATATTGTTTACTTTTTTTTAACATATCCGAACGATTTTTTTCATGTAAAACGCATATATTTAAAAAATACCGATTATTATTTTGGAATAATCTTGAATCACATTTTTGATGACTACTGATGACTTTTTCCACACTTAAAATAATTTAAACGTACTCATCGTCGGCGCATCCTCAAACGGAAACGAAGGCATTCCAAAAGGATACAATTTTCATATTTGACTATAAATATTCTTGCACATGTAAAAAATATTAGCACGTGCGTCGTTATATTTATGAACAAATTATTTTCGTATTTAGTGTATGTGTTAGAATTAGTAATATAAACTCTATAGGAGCGTAAGAGGTGTCAAGGTAAAAAAAATATTTAAATGTCAGTGTTATGATAATATTAATATATATATGTGCTATATGTATCTGTATATTGTGCGTCACGAGGCGAGACCCTCTAGATGGGTCTCGAAATTAGGTCGTAAGGGGGTCGGCCGTTGTCACTGTCACCATTGCGATGCTACACTTTGCTTATATCCAATTTCCCTTCGTTATCTTATCTTTCTTTCACTAGCAATTGTTTTATATATACACTAGTGTGATAGGTGATATTGGGAACAGATGAATGTATTTTGTTATTTTATATATGCATAAAATAATTTCGTATGCAGTTAATTATATCATATAAGTTTGTTTCATTAGAAAGAATGCGAAATTTATATATTGCTCAGGATATATATACATCGATAACTTTGTCATTTTGGTCTTACGAAAATGAATATTGGAATGGTACAAGAATCTATCTAATAATTACATTTCTTTGTATGACATCTGTTTCATTTACATTATAAAAGGCCTCAAGTTTTATAAATTACAATAACCAAGTTTTACATTAAATATGTCGAAAATTAAAAAAATGACATTTTACTTCAATATGCTATGACTTAGTTGACTTGAAACTTGAAATATTTCGTTCACTTCCATAGGATTTTTTAATTATAATACTTAAACGGTACTAAAATCAAATTAAAACATTTAGATTATAATATAATTCTTAATTAATATCACACACATATGACCAATTCATAAGTACATAGCTGTATCACCTGACATTGAATTTCGCATACAAACTTTTTGGCAGTCGCCTTGGCATTGCGTCGAATACCTTAATACATATACCACTTTTGATATAATTAGTCGGTGATTACATTCGGACGACCTTTACCTTGCCTTTATGTCTTCAAAGTTTATTTTTACTATTGTTTTTTTCAACATTTTATTTCAAGCAATTTGTGATCGCATCGCATCAATAACAATATATCATTTGCTTCAACGCGTTGTAAATGAAATTTCTCTGAAAAGAATTCTTAACTGTATCCGAAGTCTGTATTGTGTATTTTTTCACAGACGTCTTAATTTAAAATTGCTTTGAAATTTTACGACAATTTTAAAATGTATTTCAGTGCTTTTGCAGTTATTTGCAATAATTTTATGTGAATCTGCGCTCTATCTCACGCTTCAATTATGTTATATATTTTTTATTACATATAAATCTGATTATTAATATATAATCTTTACAAACGGCAGGATGTATGTCGTATGCAGGATCAATTAAAAAAAATCGAATAAGGTCTAGGATAGGACGTTTAAAATATAAAAAAAAGGATGATGCAAGCGTGATTACCGGCAAAATAAAAAATTAGCAATTCAAAATGGCAACGGATGCACCGAGTATGACGCGGCGCTTGCGCGGTGTCCCACTTATGGCCGGAGGTCAGGGGTTCGTTCCCCGGCCGGTATTGATCGCTAGGGGAAGTGCGGTGCAGCGCACCTAGCCGTTCATAAACACTCATAATATACTACATATCTGCTTCAGAAAACTCATATACTTTGTATCGACAGCTTAAATGACGCTTAATGCAGCCTCAACGATGTCTAAGTAAAAATGTATAACGTTTGGTATTTAATAAGTATGTAGTTGGAACTAAATGAATGTTTATAAACAGTCAGGTTTTATATGGAAATCTTTGCTTTAGAATCATGCTATGTATTGATAAAAAAATATACTATGTAGACTAGTTGAATGAGTTTTAAAGAGTTCATTAACACCCCTCTAAGACAATCTCGTTTGAAGTAACTAATTCAAATATATTTATACTTTTAATAATATTTTAATTCACGCAATTAATTAATATAATCCAGTTACACTTGACATTGACACAAAATACAAGACTAGAAGGAAAATAATGTTGAACTAGAGTTAGACCAAGGTTTACGCTTTTGTGAGGCCAATAGATTTGTCCGAAAATATAATTATATATCTATCATTATTAATACAATCAAATTGAATCATATAATTGACAAACAACCGAAACAAATATAGTAATTTTATTAATAGAATTGTATGAAACTGTTTTATAATAAAAATATCGATAAAAATGTAAACAGACAAACATTGGAGCGTTATCATGGGGTTGTTAACGTAAGTAGGCCTCAGAGGTAGGTCAATGACGGTCATTCACACTGCAGCCCGCACGTGGAAAACCTTTTGTATATAAAATTATAAAATTAATATAGAATATATGTATATATACATTACCATGACAAAAAACACAGAAATAACATTAATGAAATCAAATCCGTATGAATTATTATATATCGATTAATTTAAATAAATATAGTGTACAGATAATGTTGAAGTCAACATATGTCAATAGTTATTTAGTTATCACAATATTCAATGCCATATATCCCGTGCTATTTTATTTATCAGGCACTAGGTAGGTCAATGACGTTCATTCAACTCATGCAGGCGAACTGAAACTAGGACGTATACACCCTCCTATTTGTTCACCCCTTTTTAAACTTATACTTAACTATTTCGTTTTTAAATCTCTCGCATAAATTTATTAATGTTTTTTTTATTATGTATAACGGTACATAACAATATAATGATTGAATTGTAATTAATGAAATCCTATTTAAAGCTATTGTTGTTTTAATCTCACGATTGTAATGAGTTTCATTTTGTTCTGTTATAATTAGTGACGTTTTGCAAAGATGCTGTTACATTTTAATGGAAATGATATTCTATATACATTAAATTATTTTATGCAATACTGTGTGATAATTTTATTTTTAATTGAATTAAACAATTTATATTTAATTAAAGAATTTACTAACATGGTTCTAACCTGTTTTCTTAGTAGTAATATATTGTTAGCTTTCGATAATGATTATTCAATATTAACAATTAGCAATTAAAGTTTATTGTCAATAAAACGCCAATATCTTCCTTATAACTTAAACAGAATCTTTAATAATAATATACATATAAAATAATTAATTATATATTAATTACTACTTATAAATCGTTAATCGATTTCGCAATTAAAATGTATAGATTTTTTCTTTATATATTTTTCGTATAGAGTCCTCATAGACCAAATATTACCTTGTAAATTATGATATTACGTAAGCCCTTAGTGTGCAATATTCTAGTTGCATCTACGACGTACAGAGTCCTAAGTACCAAGAACTGAGCCTTCGCCCATGTACTCGTAAAAGTAGATAGAATGTCTAAGTCAGCCAGGCCAGTAGGAGCCAAGGCTAATTTATACGATCCGAGCGAACGACTTTAAACTCTATTCCAAATAGATAAAGTCTACTAAAGGTCGCCGGAGGCTTCAATGACGTTCGTTGACTCGAGCGTTCGATGCCGGCGCATTGCTGTTTTCCTTCTCCGTTTTCATGCATTGATATTAGAAACTATTTTGTCTGTTTTATAATATTATAACAACTATTATCTATTTGTTATTGTAACTTATTTATTCTGTGTAATATACAGAAATAGAATTAACAATATAAAAGGAAAATTAAAATCAACTAATATTCAAAACAAGTACTTCGTTGATACCGTACGAAAATATAACACATTATGGTCTATGTCCGTCCATTTTCACAAGACACGGTCACTAGTGATGTGCCGAGTAAGAACACGGAGGTCCACATCGAGTGGTCGGTAAAGACGCGAGGCGTTGTAACTCGTGACCCAATTTCACAGCTGCTGGTTTCAGCGGCGCGGGAAGCCGCGGGGGGCGAAGCCCGGGGCGGGGCGGCGGCGGCGTGTCAATGCCGTACGTTGACTCCAAGCATCGACGCGGCCTCCGCCTTACATAACCATCGACAATGAGCACTCCGCGAATGCGTGTGATGAAGCCAAGCGCAATGCATTCAGTTATATTAACGGCTATGACGAAAATAACAAAAAAAAGCTATCACCGCCGACTCTAGGGCCCGATGACAGAAATATTTATAATGAAACGTGAAGCAATAACATCTATGAGTTAGCTTAGTATTAGTATGCGAATTATGTTTGACATTTCGATGTGACCGAGAGCCTCAATTACATTAATACTGTACCGCCTTATTATAGCTATTTTACAAATACATTATTAATTCAACTTTACTGTCTATTTTGAAATATTAAGTCTACAGAAACATAGATCTAAAATAGTTTTGTCACGAGACTTTTCTATATAAAAGCTGTTTAAATAAACTGTTAATTATATACAAAGATACTATGTAACTAACTTGTGCTAAAACTTAAAATACAAACTCTTAAATCAATCCTCAATATTGGTATAAGTATATAAATTATAAAGTATTGGTTGAGGTAAACGCTTGTAAGGCTTAGGGCGGGCGGTGTAAATTGTGTGATACGATGAATGTGACGAGCGAAGGGAACGGCGGCGGGCGACGCCGGGCGACGCGGCTAGCTAGCTGAGTGCACCGCGTCGCAGCCTCACTCAAACAAGAGTTTAGTTAGTAACCTACTTCCGTGCGGGCGCCAACCGCGAGCGCTGCTCCCGCCGTTCAACCGCCAATACGACGGTAGAAACACGTATGACAGTGACGGACTCTATAAATATACAAACATACGTCTCTGAATGGACCGTTTTAATACAGAAGTCAACAGGGGCTTTGCAAAATGTTTTACGGTGAGATGATGTGTACAACTTGTAAAGCTTTATGTTACTGTTCACGTCGGCATGCACTTGTCTTGGTTTTTTTTTTAATATCTTCATTAAGGCGCCAGGCACACACCCCCACACTGATGTTTGTTTTTAAAACGATGTTCTTATTTTTTTTTTTAATTTATGGTTTATTAAATACAAAAAAAGTTTAAATAACTTTTGCAGGTTATTTTATTTTATAATTGTTTATTATTATTAGAAAGGAATTTCAAATTATATAAAAATATGTGTTTATATTAATACGTCAGGTTGTTTTTTTTTGTTATCGAATAATTGCATTTTCCAATTCGGGTACGATTTTAAATAATAATGGAACATTTGTTTTTTAATTATTTTGAGTTTTCTATTGATTATATTATTACCAAATCAGACTGAATAAATGTAATTTTACGAATCGTTATTTAAAATTATTAATTATCGTTTACTATAATCAAAAACGCTGTAAAGTACAATCGGCGGCCATATTGAATCAAGTGGCGCCATCTAATGGTATATTTGATACACAACACTCGTTCAATTGTTAATAATCATAGTAAAACGTTTATCAAATGCTGAAGAAAAAATAAATAATATGTCTTTATTTAACTTAAAATATATCTTAATTTTTAAATTAATTTATATATGTTTAATACAGGCGAGATTTATGTCATTTTTATAGAGTTAAATCTCCTTAACAGATGACATGTGGGCGAACTATGTTCGAAGTTGAATGATGAGCTCATACACATAGTTTGTCATACAAGTAACTCATTCCTTTAAAAAAAAAAACTTTTTGACAGTTTGAAAATATGTATAATACTACATATATACATGATACTCTTTGCTTTCGATTTTTAATTAAAAAAATAAAACAAACTGATTTTAATTAAAAGACAAACATAAGTAAATACACTTCTCATTCGCACTCATAGTAAAAGAACAAAAAAATTTTGCTTTAAATTACCAACAGTTAATAAAATAATTTGTCAAAAACTTTGATAACCGCGTACGCTATTTTAAAACACCGGAGCCTATAATAACTCTCAAGTAAATCTGTACATTGAATTAGTTTTCAGTACACCTCTAATAATACGCTCGTTTAGTGTGAGTAAGCGCGTCGATTTTTCGTGGATTTTCGGCTGAGCGTGTTCGCTGGTCGTGGTGTGAAACTGGGTCGGTTCAGTGACCCATATGTTTATCTAGTGATTGTACTATAGTACGTAGCTGCCTTATCATATCACCGTTCGCGTTTTAGTTTAGGTTATCTGCCGGGCAACCTGTCTCCTGCACTGTTTCTATAGATAACATTATATGTAAACATCTACCAAAATATTATTTATCGTATACTTCGATTTATTTATTATTATTTTTTTGATGAAATTCAGAATTAGGTCATCCGTAACTCTCACGCGTTGGACGTCTTATCAATGAAACCAATTGAAATGAATGATCTTAAACAACATAGTGTTCTTAGCACACTCAATTGTTATAATCATTTTAACGTATTTTTATGAGGATCATACATATAAAATTATCTAATTCATTTTAGTATAGAAATGAAGATAAAAACATATTTCTTGTAGAATAGTCGGTTCAGTTGCACTCAAGGACAGTGAAAGTTAGAGAAAGGATATGCAAAGCATAGTGACGTCACGATCGCGTTGTACCGCGCTCAGTAAGATCTACAGAATGTTTTAATGGCTTTAATACAAAATAGCTTTATCATAATATTTACCCAAAAAAACCCATAGAAAATTAAGGTTTCATTACTTTTTAGTATGTACAATTTAAATGAACCTGTTGATACATTAGCAATCTATGTGTGCGTTATAGCGCTTCAAGTAAATAAGCCCTTCATTTTTGTTAGCGCCATCAGTACTTTACCTTTATGAAGGTGAACACACACAGACAGAATTAAACCATCAGCCATCTCGGTCACGCTTACTATATTAGCTATAGGAGTGAGAGAGAACACTGTCACTAGATGTTAGTTATTAGTTAGTCCAACACGCAATAACCATAAGGTCACTTAGACAAAACGTAGATGCGTCAACGAACGCTCGCAAGGTGACGCATTGTCACTAGGAATTGATTATTGTAATACAATTGACGATGGACGCGTAACAGCTTCGTACGTTGAAGAATTCATTATATTCATAAACGTAACGGATACATAATGCGATCTTAGATGTTATTTTTTTATTCCAATAAAATAAATCAATTTAGAAGCTGTAGAATTAAAATATTCGTTTTCAATTTCAACTGAAATTCTTAGTAAGGCATTTCTCGTCAGTTATAACCAAATTAAAATTGTAAATCTATATATTAATCACGGTTAACCCTAAAATATGAAAACCGAAGTCAGCACCCTCGTAAATCCACTTGTTATATTCCATAACGCACGCTTGCGGGATGACAGAACGCCCCACATTCGATACACAAACACGTCTTTCCCTTTAGAATTTAAAATATAAATTCACAAATAACTAAAGAGGTTTTATATATTTCAATAAAAACTCTTTATGCTCACAGAAAAAAAAAATACATAAATTTTCATTCATGGAATATTTGTTACTGATTTCGATCGTCAGGAATAAGTAAATATGTCAATGAAAATGAATTTAGCTAGATATCGGGTGCAAGATAGTTCGTTAAAATTAGGGTCAATTAAGATAATGTGAGTAAAACGTCACAAAACTTATAATATAATGCGTTTATAAACATACATAACAAAACTCAAAAGTAATGTATATACGAAATGAGGTAGGCTTAATAATTAGTATGTGTGACTTAAAATAATGTAAATAATGTTATTTATATTATGTAAAATATGTATGTTATATGTAAATCGAATGATTTAATATTGACCTCAGCATTAGATTTCCTCGAATTGATTGATAGATAAGGTTGATTTATTATAAATAAACAAAAAACAGTTTAGTTTCTAACAGCCAATGTTTCATTTTATTAGCAAGGAGGATATATATAATTAATAATTATAGATATATATCTAAATAATTAAACATATATTGTATATTGGTCTTGTTGAATAATGAATAATTATAAAGTCTAGATTCTAAGTTAGTTTTCTAACATTTTCGTTAAAGTCGTGTTCATAAGTGCAATGGGTTTCTCACGGCCTTGTAACTGAACCTTTACGACAATGATACCTAAGTCATGGACAATTTCAATCCGTTTTAAATGATTTTCCTCTTAACAAGGATCTAATATTAAAATTAAATTATTCCATATTTCATTTTGTTTCACCAGATATGTTAATCTAAAAGGTATTTCGTGTTATTTCTGTGTGATATCGTGTGATTGATTATGAAAGCGAAATGTTATTATGGGAAGTAATTATCGATAACAATGGATAGAACCTTTCGCTCATAAAGCGAGTGGTATATGATGTAACACACACACGTGTTGTGTGTGTGTGTGCGTTGTTACAATCGAAAGAGAAAGTAGAGTTCTATGGTGGCTGACCGCTAGTGATGTATCTAGTATCGATGTTTTGCGCAACGATACTGCTATTACTATACAAATGCAACTACAATCAAATACTAAATATATATGTATATAATATTTTTCAATAGGATCGGAATATAAGGGCATTTATTCTAAAATAAGTAACAGTTTTATCAATAACTAGCTGACCCGGGAAACGTTTTGACATATAAAAAAATAGGGGTTAGTGATAAAAATTAAAAATTTTGGGTTGTAGGAATTTTTATGCTACATTATAACGAAAAAAAACAAAAAAAAATTCATCCGAAAAAAAAATTAAGGGTGAATAACCCTTACGACTTAGGAGTATGAAAGATAGATGTTGGCTGAATTTCAGACCTACTCAATATGCTCACAAAATTTCATCAAAATCGGTCCAGCCGTTTCGGAGAAGTCCTCTGTCTAACGCCGCGATACGAGAATTTTATATATAGGATATATCTTTCAAGAGTAGCATATTTCAACTAAGTTAGACGATAAAATATAATTCCCGTCTAATTTATCGTGGACTCTTGAAACTCACTTGCAACCATTTATATTTACTGTCACTTTTCATGGTATGCACTAAGAATTTTATTTACTCTATAATGTATGCATGACAGTTATTACAATATTTGTCATGAAATTTAACGAATATGTATAAGTCAAATAGCCAAAAACACCGCTTAAT